ACCCAATTGTCTCAATATCATTTTGGAAAGATTATTCTTTCCCTATCAAATGGTCTGGGTACCCTTGTTGAAAATCGGTTGATCACAAACACCTGGGTATATTTCTGTGCTCTCAATTCTATTCCACTGACGTTTCCATCTATCCTTGTTCTAGTACTAGACCATCTAGATTGCTGTTGCTTTGTAGTAAGTTTTGAAATCCGGAAGTGCAAGTCCTCCAACTTTATTATTCTTTTCCAAGACTGTTTTGGCCATTTGGTGTTCCTTGCAATTCCATATGAATGTTAGAATGACCTCATAGACACATATAGTTGAGTCTTGTTTCCTGATCCTCTCTGACAATCTGTCTTCTAACTGGTGTATTTAGACCATTGACACGTCAAGCAATTATTGAGAGCTGGATTAATATCTACCATATTTGTTACTGTTCTATTTGTTGCCCTTCATCTTAGTTCCTGCTTTTGTCTTCCACTGTTTTTCTGCCATTTGTGGTTTTAGTTGAGTGTTTTATATAATTTCATTTTTTCTCCTTTCTTAGCATATTAATTATACCTCTATTTTTGTTTTTTATAATGGTTGCCCTAGAATTTGCAATATACATTTATAACTAATTTAAAATCTATCTTGACATAACACTGTACCACTTCACAGGTTGTGCAAGAACCTTATAATAACAAAATATCACTAATTCCTTTCTCCTGTCCCTTGTACCATTGCTGTCATTCAACAAATGTATTATTGGGCCGGCCCGGTGGTGCACTGCTACAGTGTGCCGCTTGAGAGCGCGGCGGCGCTCCCGCCGAGGGTTCAGATCCCACATACAGACTGGTTCCCGCCCACTGGCTGAGCGAGGTGCGGGCGCGGCACCGAGGGTTGCGATCCCGTTGCCGGTCCCGGTCCGGTACGGGCGCGACACTGAGGGTTGCGATCCATTGCCGGACACGAAAAAAAAAAGACAAAAACAAACAAACAAACAAACAAAAAACAAATGTATTATTTAATCAGTTTCCTTTAGTTCTTTGAACATATTTATAATGGCTACTTTGAAGTCTTTGTTAAATCCAACATCTGATTGCTCTTATAGGCAGTTTCTGTTGCCTGATCACTTTGCTGCATATGGGTCATACTTTCCTGTTTCTTTGCATGTTTTATAATTTTTTTTGTTGGAATCTGAACATTTTTGATAATATATTGTAGCAACTCTGGGTGCTGGCCCTTGTTGTTGTTAATAAACTGAACTTGTTGTCATTTGCTTGTTTACTTTTTAGTGATCAGCTGGATTATTTCAATGACATCTACTCTCTGCCCACCCTCCCCCCCCTGCCAGGAAGGAGGAGTGTGAAGCCTCTGATGTTGCTTGCCCGTGAGCGTAGCCTGATTATGCTCACAATCAACCTGGGAGGACAGTGGTTTGAGCAGGCCTCACTTTGCCTCTCTCCAGGCCACATTCAGTTAAACTCCACTAGTTGCCTCTGATTGCTCTACTGTTTTCAACAATGCCATGTGGCATAAATGACTTTACAGACTGACCCAATATCCAATTTTTGGGCTCTTCTGAAAGGACAATAATTGAGATCAATGTTTGAGACTTGTTCTGATCCCATGAAGACTCCTGCTGGCTGTCTCTTCCCCCAGTTCTCTCCAGAAAACTAGCTGGCATACCGTTTAGCCTATATCTCTGATGAATCTACCAATCTCCTCCAAATTCCCATTCACCACAACTTCCACTATTTTTGAAGTGCCTTTAGGCTCAAGCTTCTCTATACTCTGTTGCAGATGAAGTCAGTTCCTTTAGGAAGAAATTCAGGCCTCTCTGTTTTATGGCCTGCTCATGCTCCCAGGAGAACCTCCTAGCCATTGCTTTGGAGCTGGGAGTGGAGATGATGGCCTGTTTCTTTCTGAGTGATGCCCTTGCTTTAGGAGCTGAGTGCTTGGTGGATGGATAGTAGCCTGAGGTCCTTTTGCTTGGCCTTTCCCAGCATGAAACCATCACCTTCTAAGCCTGGGAAAAGGCAACTGGGATTCCAGTATTTTCAGCAGTGATGTACCCAAGGTAGAGCCTGTGAACCATGAGTGGGGGCTGGGTAGAAGAGAGAGCCCCTACCTCTTGGCTGTATTCCCTTGGAACTTAGCCTCAGCAATAGGTAGCTGGGGGATGACCCAGGAAGAGAGCCTTCCACTCAGAACTAGGTGGGAGAGGGAGTCTAGAGTGGAGTCTCTTGTTGAGCTGGGAGGACAGAGAGGAGCAAATCTTAGTTCAGATATCACAAGCTTTCTCTTCTTACCAAGATTTAGTATATTTTCTTGAATAAATGTTTCTTCATTTGCCGTATGGCCTTAGGACCATGTTGAGAGACTTTAAGTGGTTGGGGCTTTTGTTTGTTTTAAAATAATTTTTACCAGTTTCCCTAGGGTGTGGGTCCATAGAGCGCCTCATGCTGTCACGCCAAAAGTCAAACTCCTAACGTCTACTTTTGAAATGTATTTCTCCTGTGGTATTTAGCATGAACTTAAGAATGGTTTTCCATGGGCATTTGGCCTGTCTTTCTTTGCCCATCTCATTTCTTATGACCAACCCCATTCTCACCTGTATTTTCCTTCCTCCCTCCTCCCACTTTTGTGAGGTTGTTTATAAAAGCTTCCTTCTCTCCTCCTCCCTGACAAAGGAGCCCCATCCTTTTGCACAGTGATTGCCATCCTAGGGTCATCCTAGACACAGAAGCCATTCAACCCAGAATCCTGTTTTTAGCAGGCCATGAGTATGCTGTGAATAGGAACCATTGTCTTCCTGTACCATAAACTGAAGATTTGGTATAACCCGGCTCTTCTTATTGGTCTTTCTCTTTTTTTGTCATAAGTTAGCACTGACCCAGCTTTCTTCAAATTTATTCAAGTTTCTTGGTAATATAGACTATTAGGAAATGAGTTTTAGAAGTTTACTATTGACAATATAAACTAATATTTTATTTCTTTTCCAGTAACTTTGCTGAAGTTTCAAAACATGTCTGCTTATCATAATACTGAAGTTTTGGTGAATAATTCATCTTTCTTATCTGTGCCAAGCATAATCTTGTAGCACTTGCTCACATTCTTGCCTTCTTGGCCTACATTTCTCCAGGTTGAATTGTCTCAGGATTTAAAAATTGTTCTTATGAGCATTATCCTGTTCCTTCAATTATCTCTCATCCTCTTCTGAACCTTTTATATAACACTGTTTTTTGCTTAAAATCCAATGACCAGAACTGCCCACAGTGCCCGTGGTGCTAATAAGGTCTGTATAATAGGTTTTATTTCTTCCCTTTTGAACAATACCTGTCATATTTTGGCTCTGGCAGCATAGCAACAAATGTTTAGTGGACAAAGAAAATGTATTCCCAGGTCCCTTTCCTGGGTAGTAAACTCTATTTCAGGATACTTCAATTGTGGAATATCTAGCTTACTCACTTCTCTGTACACTCAGGGTGCCTGGGACCCAGAAGCCCCACACTTCCAGGTGCATGGCACGTTCCCAGGACCACACACAGTTCCTGTCCCTTTATCTCCCACTCAAGAGAATGCATTACAGTAGACATGGATTGCTTTCATTCTACATCCTGTCTTTCCTCTGGCGAACCCCCACTACCACCTCATCGGTCCTATGTTTTCTGTAAAGATGACCCAATTTCTAGCTTCAGTGGTGGGATTTGGCCCAGGCTAAGCCAATCAGAGCACTCCATTCCCCTGGATGCAGTGATTATTTTGGGAATGGAAGTAGAACCCAAACCAGTCAATGGGCTCCATCCTGGAATGTCTTACTGGCAATATAGAGAAAGAGGCTACAAGGAAGAGCCACAGAATGAAGCCAAACACATTGAGGGCTGACTTTGTCACTGCTTGGGGAAGAACACAGCTAAGAATGCCACCAAAACAAAGAAAAGCAGAAATCTCTGATGCCAATGTTTGGGCACCTGGATATAGTCTCGAACTTTAGTTACATTAGGCAATACATTTCGATCGTTTTTTTTTTTTGGTGGCTGGCTGGTACCGGGATCCAAACCCTTAACTTTGGTTTTATAACACCACACTCTCACCAACTGAGCTAACCTGCAAGCCCACTTTGCTTCTTGGTTGAGCTAGTTTGAGTTCGATTTTTATTACACACCCCAGAAAGGCTCCTAATGAACATGTCAAAATGCAAGTGGATGAGAGTGATTTTATTATGGGGATATAACCTTGACTCATTTCTAATTTATTCAGAAAAAGAAATTGTTTGCAAATTTTGACATTTCATTACTTATAATATCCTGGTGTCCCCGTAAACTATAATCCATGGTGCCAGTAATTAAATCTAAGTTGGACATTGCTATATTTCTAGGGCCTGTCATGGTGATCAGAAAAGTGCTTAATAAATGAGTTGAATGAATAAATGTGTCACAGCACAGAGGCAAGAAGTGTATAATCTACACAAAAACCATATATTCATTTCTCCATATTATAAATGAAGATGAGACTAATTCCGTCACAGGTCTGAATGACCCGGCTCTTTGTTTCTCCATCCAAAGAAGTGCATCTGCATACTTCTTAGATCTCTGTCCTATGCTAAAAAATTGGTCCACTCACCTACTATATTACAAATAAAATCTTTGATACAAACCACACCTTCAATCTTTTGAAAGTCTAAGTAGATTACATATACCAAATTTCCCTTGACTATGTCTACTTCTCTTCAGAGAATTTCAGTATATTTAGGCATAACTTCCTCTTGAAGAAAACATGCTGCCTTTCCCTCAGTTGTTTTTGTTTGCTTGTTTAAGTGTTTGGCAATTCTCTTCTTTATCATGTATTTCACTGTTTTCCAGTATGGAAGGGGAACTCACCAACTTTTAAATTTCCAAGACTCTTTGGAATATTCTCATAAGGAGAGGTTATATTTACATTCACTTCAGAATGTCTTCAGAAAAACAACTTATTTTATTGTTTTAAAGTGTGCAGTGGGTTTATTTATAAGACACAGACAAGAATGCTTTATACTCATTTTTATTTGAACAATTTTCTATAATAGCTAGGAGAATACAGCATTAATGACACACTTACTAAGCACAACATGAGACAACTACAAATTTAAAGCATAAATGTCATTCTGATATTGTTTTGGTTTTCATCTTAGCACTAGGTGGTATCTAGTGAAAACCCATGTTTCGAAGGCTTTTGTTGACATGAGGTGAATTATTAACTTATTTTAAAAAATTTCATGTGAAATAGGCTGGAATGGGTTCACTTTAAAACTGGAGTTAGTTGGTAATGCATGTCACTTCTCCGTACCGCTTCTTTTCAACGGAAGAATATGTCACCTAAGAACTTTTCAAAGGTTAACCATATCACGTTTTTCTATGAAGATCAAAGCAGAATTCCTTCTCTAGATCCAACAAGGAGAAATATTTGAAAAACTACAATGTTCAATTTCATTATAGTTAAAAGTTATGTCCATTTCCTAGTAAATTAATAAATATTAAAATATAATATGTTAAATGTCATGAGCTCATTTTTCTGCAACACTGTTGGAGAAATTTAAGTTTTCCAAGGACACAAAAAAGTCAATGCTACTCCAGGATCCCACAAAAATACATAACTAGGAATCATGAATTACAACATATATATACACATTAAAAGGAAAAATTCACCATTTGTTGGAAAAAAAAATAATGGCTCAAGTGATTTAGAGAGCCTGAAATGTAGGCTAAGATTTTATAACACATGGCAACAATAAGATATTTGACACTACTGACTCTGAAAAATGGACGAAAATGTACTGACCTACCAAGCACTGAATTATATATGCCAGTTCAACTAAAAAGTCTTTTTAAAAATACTTCAAGCAATATTATAACCTTAAGAAAATCTTATTTTCTGACATTTTATGAATCTAACAACACCCATTACGTTAAGCAGATGAACATTTTAGGTAGACCAAATTATAAAATAAAAAATGTATAAAAGGCATTTTGGGATATATTTTACATGTTACTTTTCAGTTCCTAATCTATTGAGAAATACACTGTAATTCCAGATTGATTTGTTTAATTTAGGGTAAGACAATGGATTAGAATTTATAGCACTCTTTCCTGTTTTTACTCAACCTTTCATAGCAGTGTTCTTAAAATATTTTTTTAAAGAATGTCCATGAAAAGTTTTAGAGCTATATCCTTTACATTCATTAAGAAGGGTTAGCAGAAAACAAGACATACAAGCATTACCAAGAATCTAATTTATCTTTGTGTTTCTTCCATATGTTCATTTGTTTACTTGTGACAGAGTCCCACTAACTCAGGAACATTCTCTAAGCCGACATTTCATTGGCTCTGAGATTGTTGGTGCTCAATAGTTCTAATCCCTGTTTGGAAATAACAGAAAAGGAAGGAAGGAGAAAGGGTCATGCAGGAAGGCGAGAAAGGAATTAGTGGTTGGATGACACACCCAATCAAAACCCTCACAAAGCCTTGAGAAACAGGGCAAGATATCCCTTACAGAGGAAAAGTTCTAGAGAACTTAAGGCAGCTCTAGAAGGGAAGGGAGCAAGGGTTAAGGCGGCCCTTACAGCAGAGCCTGAGAACAAATTACAAAGCACTTATCCGTGAACAGAGGCCACACAATACAGAGAGCCTCTCTTAACGTGCATGCACACAGCACATCTCCTAGCTCCAAAGTCAACTTCTGCAGCATGCACACACTGTAGTGTCCAAACACACATCGCCTTGTATACAGCCTTCCCAGTGGACAGCCTCAGAAGCTACCCAGTGGCCTGGGCTTCTCTGTGCCAAGAACCTAAATTGGGGAAGGTGGCCTGAGGCTGCAGGTGCTCAATAGGCTGGGCAGCTCACCTGATGGCTCTAAAAGGGACTCTTGAGGGGTGTGTAGACAGTGACCTTCCTCTTAACTTTAGAGAGCCTTTCATTGCTTCCTGTCTTTTTGGCTGAGACAGTCTGCTACTAACTAATGCCTAAACACAGAGCATTGTACCTTCCCAGTGAGCACTGATTCACGATAAAAGATGAGCCTCGTTAGAGCAGGTAACTATGACAAAAAAACCCCACTAGGCACTGGGCACTCTGTCTTGTCAGAACAGATGACTTGGTACTCAGCACTTACTCAGTTCCCAAATGCCAGGTGCCAACTCTGATAAAGAAAAAGAGCAGCACTTACTGGCCCAGGCACCCCATGGGTAACAGGAGGAACAAAATGCAACCTCACGACTCTTTAGTTTCCTCCCTTGCATATGCCCACACTTTCACTGCTGTGTGGGACAGCAGAACCGCTGGAGGCCTGTCCGACTTCATCTCTAACCCAACTTATCATCAGCAAATGATTGTAGAAGCTACCCTATCTATCGTCCATGCTGCTGTGAGGATGAAATGAGGTACCACGGAGGAAGAGCACTGGAGGAAGCAGAGCCAGGCACAGGTACTGTTTATGCACTACTTTCAACAGGACCACATAAGCATCATGCACTAATTCTTGTTTTCTGTTTTATCCTAAGCAGTTGACATTACTCAGAGGATCCTTGATTATGCCTCCTGAGGAACACTATGAACGGGTCACTCTGTGTGTGTGTGTGTGAGTGAGAGAGAGAGAGAGAGAGAGATTGTGACATTGTGTGAGGACTTCTCAGAATGGTCACAGATTCCAATTTTCCTAGGATTACCAGGAAAGTAATTTCTCACAACAATCACTACACTGAAATTCTCATAAAATACTTTCATAGCTCTCCCATTATGTTGTTAAAAGATCTGGTCTATATTACACATAATTACTCACCTAGAAAGAGCCAACTCTCAATTATCCATTAAAATGAAGGAATAACGAAGCAAATAATTCAAACTGACACAAATCCCCAAATCTCCTATCAGTTGGCTTTGGAATATATTTTTTTGCTTTTGTACCTAATGAAAGAAATGTCAGGTACATGGGAAATTTTCAGAACTTCCATAGGAATCATGAAGCTACATTTTTTGGATTTTATCCCATATTCACCTTCCCCCCTTTCAGAGTTACTCTCAGGCAGATCAAAGCCTTAACTTAAGAAAAACTGCAAGAAGGGAAACTGCTTCTAATTTTTCAGCTTTGCATGCAAGGGTGTGAGGTACGTCTGTACTGAGGTTACGGGGAGGGGACTATTAAGACAAAGAACTGTTGTGGCTTTCTAGATCTCTTCCTTTGAATTCTTATTGTGTGACATAGAGGAATTATGAAAAAGCCAATTAGTGATAATGTTAAAGAACGTATTGCAGAGAATGAGAACAAGAACTTGTACAAACAGTGGCCTGAAGGTAAGCCACCAGGAAGGCCAGTGGAGGCAACTGAGTATTGACCCCATCCACCTGCTTCAATACATAGTCAAACAGCAGGCGATGGGCTGAGAGAAGGGGAAGAGTGGATGGATAAATGGGAAGGGGGAAGGGTGGCGGGGCTATGTCTGAAGCTGGGTGAGAAAGTATGGATGATGGGGTAAGGGTGAGCAGTCCTCAGACTGGCCAAAGGACACCCATAGTCAGCAGAATCTTGTTGCATCAAGAAAGTAGTACAGAAAGTCATTTACTGGGTCTTGGGGTTCCCTGGTTGTAGATATTCTTGTTACGATTAAAAAACTTCAGGCCACCAGAAGAAGTTAATTCAGGGCCCCAACAGAAGTTAATTCTGGGGTTCTGGGTAGGCCTTGGAGGGAGTTGGAGTCCCAGAATAGCAGAACCTTTGTGTCACCATCACTGGAACAGGAGAAACTGCACAGGGCAGTGGAGGGAGCTCTAGCCCAGGTGTGGACAGCAGCTTCCACACTTCACAGCGGAAAGACAGGGTAGAGAAAACAGAAAGAGGTCCAGACCAGACAGCCTTCAGGACACTGAGCTTCCCAGAATAAGAAAAAGGGCTGTTGTGGCAGAGGGAGCTACACATGATCTTGAAGACCTGAGAAGATTCAGGGTGTGCATGGGTCATGCTACACAGCACTAAGCCAGGGGGGCGGTCTAGGAGGATTTCCAGGGCTGAGGTGGACAGCCTACACCCTGGTTGCATTTTCTCAGCAACTTCCCCGCCCCTGTCCCATCTATGCTATTAGACTGACACATGCAGTACTAACCAAAGAGTTATAAGAAAGAGTTAACTGTTCACTGAAAACCACATTGACAACCAGAGAAAACTGAGATGATCTGATTGAATTAGTAGTGTTTTTGGTTGACATTGCAAATAAATGTATTCAAACCGAATAAAGCAGTGTATAATAAAAAAATTATTTAAATTAATTAACTTTCAAATAAAACAAATATAGTAGGACTTTCTAAAAGCATGTACAGTCACTTCTTGGTAATTATGGGGTATTGGTTCTAGGACCTCCTACAGATACCAAAATCCACAGATGCTCAAGTCCCTTATATAAAATGGCATAGTATTTGCATATAACCTATGCACATCCTCCTATGTACTTTAAGTCATCTTTAAATTCCGTATAATACCAAATACAATGTCAATGCTATGTAAACAGTTGTTGTATTGTTCAGGGAATAATAACAAGAAAAAAAAAGCCTGTACCTGTTTAGTACAGATGCAATTTTTTTTCCCAAATATTTTTGATCCATAGTTGGTTGAATCCACAGAGGCACAATCCATGGATGCAGAGGGTTGACTATACATAAATCATGTACATTTAAGAAAGGTTATGGCCATACAAACTTGTGGTTTTACATTTATTAATCCTAAGGGACTGACAGGCACCACACACTGGTCTTTCCAGCAGACGATGTACTAACTGCATAACTGCAGTTCTTTCCTCTAGGATCCAAGTGCTGAGAGGACAGAATTTTAGACCTGGAATGGACCTTTAGAATCAGCTGTCCAACCCTCTTATTATATAAACAAGGAAATGAAGGCCCAAATAAGCTAACAAACAGTATTTATCTTTTAATAACGATCTTTATCACTGACTTGAAACTGACTTCCATAAATAATATTGCACATATTTAAATAAGATATATCATTTTTATAGACAATCTACCAGTTAAATTATATAAATCTATGATTGTAATTCAGAACCAGCGTTTCTAATAAAAGCTAAGAATTTGCTTTTTACACAACCTGCAGGATTTACTGTATAAGGTTTCTAGGAAAAATGGAGAATATGCTTAATTAGAATTTCTAAATGAAAACTTAGAGAATCTGGGTCTTATTGAACCAAGAATCTGGGTCTTATCGAACCTCTGCAAAATTCAACAATCTCCTTATATGTCTTCCTAAAGCATTTCTAATTTGATGTTTTTTAATGTATCCAGTGGTATCTGAGAACATTTAGAGAAGTTACAAAGCTTAAAAAAACTGAATCATAAATATTTATTACATATCTCCTTTTGCATAATTTATAGAATAATCAAAGTTTCAAAACCTGAATCATGAATATTCTGACAATCCTTTCTAGATATTGACTGAGATGAATTCTTAATAAATTAAGAAGAAAGAAAACCTGTCAAGGTTGAAAATAAGCACTGCAGGAATCTGATCTGGTAACATAAAAATAAGTCACTTCACAGAACACTGTACCCTGATGCAATATCCATCCAGGGAAATTTAATGAGCACATCAATGTAATACATCCTGAATAAATAATGACATCAATAATAGCCACTTTGTCTAATCCTACCTCTAAATGTCAAGCATTTTATCATATTACTACATGACTTCCCAGTGTCTGCTACTTGTGCAGGTGAATGTGTAGATATTTGCATATAATCCAGTTAAAACTGCGATCTGATTGAATTGTAAACAGAGTTGATAAGAGAACCTCATTGTAGTGCCTAATAAGAATATCGCTTACATTTTAAAGAACACAGTATGTAGCAGCAATTTGAAATGCTCAGTAAACTACAGTACAAATGGACATCTACGCTTCACAGCAAACCAACATTCTTTTAATATCTCTATATCATACTGACAAAAATAAGGAAGTTAACTTGACCAATTACTTTACATATTGCCAGTTTATTTGATCCAGTTTGACACTATCAACATAACTGATTCCTCAACTGATATGATATGTACTCAATTGTGATTTTTCTTTCAATTCCTCTGTTTAGCACAGAGGAAGGTCTTTGTTGGTGCCTTCCTAACTGCTTGTACATGGAATTCATGTTTTTTACACCATTTAAATGCAGTGATAAGGATTTTAAAATAAATGCTGGCAGCTGAAGACACGTGTTTTTCTTCCTTTCCTTCCTCCCTCCCTTCCATCATTCATCAGCATGTAAACTCAGAATACCTGACTGGTCAAGGATGGGTGTTGCTACAAAGGTAACATAGCACGAAGGAGCCTAGTTTTCTTTCCAAAATGGTGATAGTATTCTAAGGAGATTTCCAGTTAATAACCTCTTGTTTAGGATATAATCAGTACTTTCTGTTTAAAAGTGTATTTTCAGTAGCTCACTGGAAATAATGGGTTCTTATCTGAGGCAAGAAATGTACTGTCAATGTTTGCCTGGACATCACTTTCAGACCCGTGAAATGAATCCCAGGCCCAGGCTGGCTGGAATCTGGATGGTTTCCAACGCGAGGGAGGATGGGTTAAAAGGAAAGGTGACAGGAAAGATGTGTTTAGCATCCATGAGCAGCTGAGGAGAGTCTTTCCTGTCTCGTAAACGCATCTGAGAAGATTAAGAAAAGAGAGAGACAGTATCAGTTCTTTGAATGTGTAAGATTTTTTCCTGTCAATTTCTACCACAAAATTCTCAACTAATGAAGAATGTTTATCTTTGTTTCAAAATTGCTTTATTTTCCCAATAAACTCTTATCAAAAAGTTAATGCAGTTTAAATAAGATAATATAATAAAAGATAAAAACACATTACCCTCCAATAAATCGTAAAATTTTCATTCAAAAGACTGTGTTGATGAATCAGCAGAAGAAAGCCAGGAGCTCTTACCTGTATAGTACGAATAAATGATACAGAGACTCTTTCTTCAAACTCATTAACTGGAGTATACAAATTCAACACTTTGACAATCTGTGAGAAATGAAATGATTAAAGTTTTTGGTATATTAACAAATAGACACTGAGTACCTATAATATGGAAAATTAAAAGGATCTGTACATGCAGTTTTCAATTCTACTTAGGGGTGGTGTTGGGAAAATAGAATAGTTTGGTCAGGGCCCTTTGCCTTGGGTCCATTTGGGTGTGGTTTTAGCACATCCTTTGTAAGCAAACTGTGTGTATGTGGAGTTAGTGCGCATGAGCACCAATGTATCTTTTTAGTTTTGTTGCTATTCTTGTGTTCTTCAGAGAGAGAGAGGAGATTTAGTGAAGCGTGAAGCAAGTCAGCGGGCATCTGCCCTGCGCGGCTATGTTTTCCAACCTATGGCTCCAAGGACCTTTTGGCCAGTTACCTAGCTCACAGACCTGTGTGAAGGGGTCTGGTGACCCAGCCTGGCGTATGAAGGGTTTGTGACCCAGTCTGTGAATGGGCTTGAGGGGTCTGGGAGCTCCAGACCCAGCCCTAGCTCAGCATATGGCCCAGTCAGTACAGGATTACCAGCAGGGTAAAGTAGCTTTACAATTGGCATAGTGGGGGCAGGATTAAGAGCACCACATTTGGCATAGTCTGCAACAGGATTCTAGACATTAGCCATGGCTCTACAGGTGGATTGGAACAAGAGGGAAGAAGGAGCTGGTCTGAAGGGCACATTTACCTTTATTATTTGGATTTTTACAAGAAGAAGGTAGTAATGTAATATTTGTATAGTATTTTAAGATGCAATATATACTTAGAAAACCATTCCAACAGTGCAAAAGAATACAACATAAAAAAATAAAAGTGCCCCACTCCCACCCTCCCAGTCTCCCAAAGTGGCAATTGCTAACCATGTCCTGTGTATCCATCTAGTTACGTTCTATACATATTCTGGCTTATGTTATTTTTATACAAATGGGGTTCATTCTATTAATATTATTCTGCAACTTGCCTTCTCCATATAAAAATATATATCTGGCCATATTAAAAATGATAGAATTATTTCTTTTGAATGGTCTTTTTAAAAATCATATTTTTATAAAAGATAAGTTATTATAAATGAATAACATGAATAACAACAAAGGCCTCTAAAGAAGTCAACCAATTAGAGGGTATGAACTTCCTTAAAAAATGTCAAATTAATTGCTTTTGTAAAATGATCATCTCTTTTTAAACGAAAATAAATCATTGTCTATATAAGATACAAAGATATTTTCATTTTGAAGGTACTGTATAAAGCTGTGCTGTCCAATACAATAGTAGTCACTAGCCATGTGTGGCTATTTCAATTTAAATTGATTAAAATAAAATAAAATAAAATAAAATAAAAATAAAAATTGAATGTAGGACAGTGGTGATCTATAGACAAAGATAAATTAAGCACCAGAGAAATGTGAATTAGAAAGTGGGCATGTTTACCAGGTCTGTGAGTGACAAACTGAATCAGAAATCAGTCCTTTAAAAAGTAGGACTACTTCGTTAAATAAAATTTGCCAAATAAATGAATTATAGGTCTACCTCATTCTACGAAATTTTTTAATATAAAGTAAAATATATTAAAATATCTTCTTTAAAAGATGGATGACAGAAAACTTGTATAAAGTTAGGTTTCCCCCAATGCATTCTTACTTTCTACTCTTGGCAGAAATGGGGAGAAAATCTCAAGACCATTACTGAATAACGTGATTCTGCTTTACCCTTAGTAAGAATATATGTAAATATGAACTCAGCATTAAAAAGCTACACACCTTGCTTCTAATTATCTACTGACTGAGTTTTCATTGTACTGGGCACAACTGAAGATTTCTGTTATGAGATATGTGATAACATTAAGAAAGTATAAGAGTCAGTACAGAAAATAACTGGGCAAAGGAAAAAGGGCATGTTCATGCCTCTGCCCTGCCTCATGCTGTTGCCACTGTCCTCCAATGCCCTTCCTATCCTCTTGCTTCCTTAAATCAATGCCCAGCTTAATGAGACCGTCTGAACAAAGTCAGTTATCACCCTTCGGCACTTCCCTTAGACCTGTAGAATTTGCTAGATCTGCTATGGTAGAGTCAGCTGGATACATACATCTCTGTCTTCCCTACTAAACCGTAAGGTCTCTTGGCTAATATCCAAAAGACTGAGAATGACAAATGATGGCGAGGATGCAGAGAAAAAGGAACCCTCCTACACTGTTAGTGGTACTGCAAAATGGTGCAGCCTTTATGGAAAATGGTATGGAGGTTTCTCAAACAATTACAGAGAGATCTACCATATGACCCAGCTATTCCACTGCTGGGTATACACCCAGAGGAATGAAAATCATCATGTTGAAGGGATACCTGTACTCCCATGTTTACTGCAGCACCATTTACAATAGCCAAGAGTTGGAACTAGCCTAAATGCCCATCATTGGATGAGTGGGTAAGAAAAATGTGGTATATCTACACAATGGAATACTACTCTGCTATAAAAAAAAAAATGAAATACTACTGTTTGCAGCAACATGGATGGACTTAGAGAAAATTATATTAAGTGAAATAAGCCAGGTACAGAAAGAGAAATATCGCATGTTCTCACTTATGTGTAGGAGCTAATAAATAAATATATACACAAAAAAATAAAAGGGGGGGAGGGGAGAAAAAGAAGGCACAACAATGAACAATTCCTTGAACTTGTTAAGACAAGTGAACAGATATGATATTGATGGAGGGGAGGGGGGAAAGAGAAGGGGAAAAGGAGGAATTGGTAAAGGGACATGAATACCAACTACACTGTATACTGATAAATTAAAATAACAAAAAACTGTAGGATCCTTAAACGCAGGGATTTTTCCTTATTTACTGAAGTATCTCCCCCAGCAACAAATATGGTGCCTTGAGATGGGAGCTCAATTAGTCATTTGTTGAACTGAAGAAACAAGAATAATCTATCTTTAAAAAATAAGTCTAAAGAATCATTCACTTACCAAATAATATTAAAATTATATGGACTATAAGGTCCATAGAGTGCATACCCCATGAAAACAGGGACTTTCTTTTGTTTATGGTTGTATCCTAGTCCCTGCAACATTATGCAGAACACTGTAAACACTCAATAAATATTTGCTGAATTTTGACTATAGATGACTGTAACTAGCACTGAAATGTATTAATTTCTGGCAAAATCTCCTTTCTTCAAGATCTGTATAGATATGTATCTTCTCTGACACAGATTAAGTCAGCTCAGAGACAAGAGCAGTAACCAGAAGACCTCTTTACTTCCCTAAAGATCACCTTTGATGAATGTCAAATTATTTCATAACAGGGAAAGTTGCTTTACCTGGGCAGTAGTTAAAGCATTGCACATGGAACAAATGGCTTCTGCATCATCATCTGTTTTCTTTTTCACTTGCAAAAGCTGAGCAGCCTGAATGAGAGGTTCCAGGGTTTCTTTAGCCCCACTGTTCATCAGATTTTTGTCACGTAGCCATTCCTCCAGTTGACTGACATTGTACCTATGCCAAAAAAAAAAGAGAGAGAGAGAATGCAAATTTGCTGAATATTGTCATAAATGTCTTAATTTTGTGTATGTGGCCTTGTCACGATTTTCAGTTAAAATGACAGGGAGTATTTTTGTTCACTTTTCTTAAATCTCATCAGCTGTGCTAAAAATCTATCATAAATAGTCATGAGGTTTATAATCATAATTATATAAGATTAAATGATAAGAGAATATAATTCTCCTTAATGAAAGATAGAAATGAAATCATTATAGCAAAACTTATAAGACTTACTAATAAACAATATGGAATATATAATATGGCTCTGTCCTTATTGAACAGCTGACCAGAAAACACTTTATAGCTTCTCTTACAATTTCAGAGCTGGATTCCTTTTGCAAGGTGAGACTTAATAATCTTTTAAGTGCTCTCTCTTCCTTAAGGCAAACTCCACATTGGGTAACTGGATAACCAGATTGCCCATTATACTTTGAGGAGGAGCCTGGGTGATGGAGATAGTGCCCTGAGGAAGCTCAGACAAGGAAGGAGAAAGGGAAGGCCCTTGGACAAAGGGACAAAGACTCCAAATAGGAAGAGAGACAAAGAAACTACACAGACATTGAGGTTTTAAGTGACAGAAGTTCTCAAACTAAGACTGAGGTAAATGAACATACAATCAGAACTTAATAATCAGGCAAACGGAGCCATTGTGATATTACGATGCATGACTTCACATTTATAAGCAAAGCTTACAGAGAAATAAGTTCTCCTACCTGAGTGTATTTTATCTTCCCCCCCCCATATAAAGATGACCTATATATAGGGGATCCCCCCTATATAAAGGGGATCTTAACCCTTGACTTGGTGGTGTCAGCACCACGCTCTCTGAAGTGAGCTAACTGGCCATCCCTATATAGGGATCCGAACCCGTGGGTTTGGTGTTATCAGCACTGCACTCTCCCAAGTGAGCCACGGGCCAGCCCCAAGGCATTGGTCTTCTTAAAGTTAACTACAATTAGATGTGGGCCAGAATGGACCATTTGAAAAGAACATTAAGGTTTTCTAAGATTGAGTAACTAAAGACTTTTGCAGGAGAAACCCCTTTTCTCCTCCTCCTCCCTTGGTGAATATTCTAGCTGCTCTAAAATAAGTATTTTCTTGGTCTGCACTAGGATTAAAAAGAAAAAAATCCCTGCATTTTGTCTGTTTTTGTGGCTTCCCAGATTGAACTGGTGAGTATATCTGTAGAAAATAAAAAAAATAAAATGAGTATTTGCAAAAAAAATCAATTCTATTATGATAATGAGGTTATGCTGAGGTGCAATTGAACATTAAATAGAGTGCAGCTTTTTTTAAAATATAGAGGGGGCACATTTCAAGAGTTAGTAAGGGATCTATTAGACCTGGTCTTGTTGGCATAGGTATAAAAAGATATTTTGCCAAAGCGCATTTCTAAGAGCAATCATACATTACAAATCTTCATTATAATTCAATATTTTCTTATTGTACAATTGAAACACAGACAAAAGAAGCAGCAGCTATCTCAACTTTTAGTATTTTTGCATCATCTTTCCACTCTTTAAACAAGTTAGCTCTACAGAGGAGCAGGATTTCTTATCAAGTAATGAGAGGAACCTGCTGACAAGGCACAGCTGAGGAGTGGTAACGAAGGAGATCTGGAGAAGTCCGGCCAGGCAAAAGAAAGTGCTTCTGTGCCAGTTCTTCTCCTACTGCTTGACCGCACGGCACCAGATATCAGGTGCACTGACTGACTGCAAACAAGTCATCAGCTCTCCCCAATCCCGGCAGGCCAGTAGGGCAGAGGAAAGAAGCCGCCACAGGTATTGGCATTTGCTCACCTAATCTGCATGCCTTTACTCCAGGAGCACATATCCTTCCGCAGGAGGAGGTTGTTTAGGGTGATGGCCCCCACAATGTAGAACATCTGCTTGACCACCTGCTTGATCAGCTCTGGGTCCATGCCATGCTGACACATGACTGAGTGGAAGGAGTTAAGTTGGCGGAGGATGGAGTCCAGTGTGTAGGTGCCCTCGTCGGCAATACTGGAGGTTCGCTTTCTTAGCCCTGTGGGCTTCACCCCAGACACGCCCTGAATCGTTTCATGCTCCAGCATGCCTGAGACTGCAGGAGTATTTCAATTGTTAGAAGAGAAGAACTGGAAGAAAACCTGGCACATGTGTACACATGCGTGTGTGTGTGTGCACACACATACATACGTTCAATTTAGGAAAATGATCTGAGTATCAAAATAGAGGGAAAAGGAACTTCGCCATCAAAGGGCTTCTGGATTTTAAACTTTAATGAAGAAATAATTCTTTACTGCAAAAATTTACTATGAAATTAAGTAATCTTAATGGTATATTTTCTAAAATAAGCAGTGGCCTTGTGATAGCGCAAGCCTCTAGTGTTTTTGGGTGGTTTTTTTAGAGATAGGTAGCAGTTAGGGGTAATAGAAGTATTCTCCATGATATTTGAGCTCCAGAGGGAAACAAATAGTAAGAAAGGCAGCACACTGGGCAATGGTCTTGGAGAAGACTTGGGAGAGGGCAGAAGAGTGGCGCTGAAGCCTTTCATTGTCCTGGGCTTCCCAAAATAGCAGATCTTGGGCTAGCCTCAGTGTCTCAGGACTTAGTCTTCTCATCTGTATTACTGCTGCTCCCCTTATTGGGCTCTCATAGCATTTGGCTTATGCCTCCCCTAGAATGCTTTTGAGATGCTCATTCCCTGACTGGGAGCCCCTTGAGAGCAAAGGCCATGCCTGGTTCATTTCATGTCTCCTTGTGCTAAACATAGCTCCCCCAGAACCTCATATTGACTTAAAACGTTTGTCATTGTTGCTGTTAAATGACTGGGAGATGGTGGTAGTGATTTAGAGTGGAACATATTAGAGTCAAACTTCTTGTTTAGCCAATAAAAATAGGCATGAGTAGAAGAAAGATTGACTGAAACTGACCTTTGCATGTGTATTACCTTCTATATTTTAGCTGACCTAGGCTGCTTTAAATTCATGACTTTTTAGGGGACAAATCCTTGCCATCTCCCACGGCTTCCTCAGCCTTTTATGTTTCTAACTGGTTAACTGTGGCCTACGAAAGAAAATGGAATAGTATGAGCCCATAGAAGGGAGATGAGGTTGTGGAAATGTGGGGAACACATGGGTGGGGAAAGAAAGGGTACCTGGGAGTACCTTGAAAGCCTGCTGTTAATTTTCCACAAGACAACAGTGTTTGGTAACTCAAAAAATTTGTTTTAAATTCAATGCATTCAAAATTAGCAGCCCGCAACTTGTAAATAACTCCTAATTCCTATTCATACATGCTACACATGCCAAAGGAATTATAGGTAGCACAGTATATAAACACCCAGAATGAGTGCACACATATAAAGAGAGGTAGATAGAATCGTACATTTAGCTGAATACACAGAAATAGCACCCCCTCCTCCCCCCTGCTCAGCTACTTGGCCAATGAGAAACTACTACTTTAAACCAAATTGCCTTTAAGAATTCCTTAGGGGCGATGAGATGCACAACTCAGCATAGAGTGTCCAGACAAACCTGTGAGACCTCTTCTCTTCTCTTTGCCATAGTACCTTCCCAGACACTTCACTGTGTCTGTAAAACAAAGTGCAACCCACCCCCAACCTTGCCCAGCCTACTTGGTTTTCGATGGGCCCCCAGGAAGCCCTTTGTAGTAACTGTTCTAGTCCAAAGCTTAAAGTGATTTCAAAAACTGGACAAGGAATGAAGTCTATTGCTGGATATAAGCATAACCCAATCTTAAGAGACAGGCATTAAACACTGGGGAGGGGAACCAGATACTGCTTTTTGAACCACATAGAAGCAGTGATTATGATGCCTCCCATTAGCCATGGCTGGGTTTCTGGGATTCCTCAGCTAATTTTAGGCCTGTGTCTTACTACTTCATATTCTCCCTGTGAACACATGCCCAAGCCAGTGGCTGGTCATTTACTGAAGGGCACATGAAGCAGACGGACCATGATGCTCAGCCATGCCCTGGCCTTACCAATCATTGGCTGAAGGATGTTCTCCAACACCCGCACGAGCTGCTGATAGATCTGAATGGCCAAATCACTCAGCACTTGCCGATACTCAGCCAGGTCAAAATTGGTGAGGCAGTGTTCATTCTGGCGAGATGTGTTGTGTTTCATAAAGCCCTAGAGTTATAATGCAAAGTTAATACATATGAAGTAAAATGTCTCTTCTGTCTGTTTAACTATCTCCAGTCTGATCAGCACTTTCATGCTCCTTTTTCCTCTTTCCAAGGGATTTCCATCCATCCCACAACAAAAATGCCAGGACAATCACTCTCAAATGCTGGTGTGTGTTTGTTTGCTTCCATCATTCCTCCTTCCACTTCTTACTAGCTTCTGAGTAATATCAAACTTGGCAACCTAGCTTTTAAGCCTTTCCATAGCAAGTCCAATGAAACAAGTTGAGAGAACTTAACTAAAAAAACTGAAAGAGTGTTTCATTTATGAAACAGCAGGTTTATCACCAAACTCTAAATTATCTAAAGTACTAATCTCTTAACTTCAGTTCATTAAATATGGTCCTATTCATAAATACTACACCCAAAGGGCATACATAATTTTCTTGAAATAGACTGAATTCTACACAGACTGGTAAGTAAACAGGAAATGTCCCTTTACTATATTATATGGTATACACAACATGATTTTCAGTCAGAGCTTAGAATGGAATCTTCTGGTGGTATTTGTGAAAATGGTAAGCTAACTGTACAGGCAGGTACTTTTTTCAGTCACTTTGCATTTTTTTTTTTTTTTTTTTTTTTTTTTTTTTTTTTTTTTTTTTTTTTTTTTTTTTTTTTTCTTTTTTTCTTTTTTCCGGGTCCGGCAACGGATCCCAACCCCCAGGGTTGCCCCTGTACCGGACCGGGGACCGGCAACGGGATCGCAAGCCTCGGTGTTGCTCCCGCGCCTCGCTCAGCCAGTGAGCGGGAACCGGTCTGTATGTGGGATCCGACCCCTCGGACGGGAGCGCCGCTGCGCTTCCCAAGCGGCGCACTATCCAGTGCGCCACCGGGCCGGCCCTGTCACTTTGCATTTTAACATGCTGATCACCAGACATTGCCTGACAAAGGTAATGGCTTATTGATGGATCCTACTCATGGTCAAGCATCTGCCTCCCTACAACCTACTTAAATGGTCTAAGAGTGGGAATTGACAGGACATAGTTAATGGCCCCTGTGGGGGTTTCTGGTCTATCAGTCCCACCTTTTCAGGGACGATGTCTTACCTATCTTTGTATTTTCCATCATTTAACAGGACAGTCCCCTACCTCTGAGTGCTCAGAGAGTACTACTAATCAGCTTCTTTGCCTACCCTCCTGGCAAAGGATGGGGATGCAGGAGGGTAGTGTGGTAGGCCAGAGGTTCTGGGAGGTAGGCAGACCCAGAATCCCAACATTGCTCTTTACGGCCAAAAGAGTTTTGGCAAGTCGATGAGCTTCACTGAGCTTCAGTTTCATCATCTGTAAAACTGGGTTATAATTCCTATCTCACAGAGGTTTATAAGAAATAACATAAATAACATAATGTATAGTAAGTGTTGTCTGAAACATACTAAACAGCTCTTAATAAATAGTAATTTTTAATATTTTACATACTTTTTAAGTATGTTGAACTCTATCAACTAGTGAACACATTACTGTGAACAAAAGCAATACAGATTTTTGGACAAATCAAAAGAGACACGATCTTTGATCATGTTCTATCTTTGATCACCTTTAATGTACTGTGGCAAGCTGAAATTGATTAATTTCCTTAAATAGTTCAATACTCCAATATTAGTTCTTAAAAAGCCCACCTCAACATAATAACAGAAAGTTTCATTTCTGGTAAATATCCATTAACCAATGCTTATTTTCTTTTTGCTGTGCTTTCTCAGCACAGCAAATAAAAACTCTCAGAAGAAAGAAACTACATCACTCTCCAATTTACTGTTTCATAGATAAAGAACATCAAACAAAGTGATAAACTCCAAGCCACCTCTGAATTCAGGTTTCTAAAAAACATGGTTAAGTATTTGGGCTTTAAAATTTTCCTTAATAAAGGTCAGAGAAAGCATAGCATGCTGGTTTTATTTATTTATTTATTTATTTATTTTGTCTTTTTTCATGTCCGGCAATGGATCGCAACCCTCAGTGTCGCGCCTGTACCGGACCGGGACCGGCAACGGGATCGCAAACCTCGGTGTTGCTCCCGCACCTCGCTCAGCCAGTGAGCAGGAACCGGTCTGTATGTGGGATCCGAACCCTCGGCAGGAGCGCCACCGCGCTCTCAAGCGGCACACTGTAGCAGTGCGCCACCGGGCCGGCCCGCATGCTGGTTTTATAATCAAGGTTTTCTTACCTCTTCTCCACTGTACTGCTTCAAACAGTGCAAAAAGCGGCATGTGTTAGAGAGCCAGAAGGAGACAGTTTCAAAATCATCACCTCTTTTCTGAAAGAGAGAATAAATCTAAATTTGCCTTTTCCTTAGAGAAATAACAACCTGCAAAAAACCAAAGATACCAGAAGGCCTATTTCTTTCAGTTACCATTATAAACAATTATAAAAGTAAATCACATTGCAGTTGTGAAGTCTTACATCATTGCTAGCAGAATTTCAACCACTGGATTCATTGGTTGGTTATTACTTTGCTTGGCATTCATTTTCTTGCCATTAGAAAATTAAGTTAGTGCCACTTAACTCAGCTGTTCCTTTAAGAAGAAAAAAATTCACCAAGCCACAGTTGACCCAAACTCAGTTCCCCTGGAGTTAATGAAGGGCATCAGAAAGAACTAAAAGCAGAAAAGGGAATAACCTATATTGTAATAAAGAATAGAAAAAAGAGTGAAGCACTCAAACCCAGATTAGATTAAAAATTTTGTCAACACTAAGATATTTCTGAGCAGTGAATCAGAATAGGGATGGAGGAATCCTGTGCTGAGCAGTATAGTTGGGGGGAAGCTGGTTGGCTCTTCACCAGGACTGGGCCACAGCGGCAGGGAAGAGAAGACTCAAGGTGTAAAAAACGATGTAGAGGTTAGGAATGTTTCCTGGGGGTTGAATAGTAGACATATTTGGGAGGACTGTAATTTTGTGAACTAAATCATTGACTAGTTTGGACATGGGAAGTCACAAAAATATCAATGTTTGCCTGTACTTTTTCCCAGAAAACCTTATGTAAGAAAACCCAGATAGTTTACCCAGGAATGGCTATGCTTTAATCTTAGAAACTCCTTTTTCTTTACTTTTTGTATGATATCATATATTCTAATAGCTCTACTACATCACAACAAAACCTGAGTTCTTAGAAGTTGTATGAGAATACCTGCCTTGATTCTTTGGTAGTGGCTTTACACAGTAAGGTGCACTAGGAGCTGGAAACATCATGGAGAAAGAAGGATTTCTTATATCATTTTTTACATAAATAAAATTTACCTCTTTAAGCAAGTATAAAACAAACTAAAGCCCTTAAATTTTGGAGAATATTTTCCTAAAAAAATTTTAAGAAAAAAATCCTAGAGGATAATAAACTTAATTTAGTCTTTTTAGCTGAGACAGGGTAATTGAGTTCAGGTCCTGTCTTCACCACTAGGTAAATATCTGAAAGACGTAGCTATACTGTCTTCCAGTTTTAGGAGGATTGCCAGAAAGTAAATCAATTTTATGACACTCCCAAACATAGAAAATCATCCTATGGCTTAAGTGCATATTAGACTACAAATAATTTTACTCCTTCCACAATTTTGGTTACAACTGCTCCTAGTGGAGGCTCTGGACTGAGCTGACAATCAGTACAGATTGGGAGACAGTGCTGGCCTGTGCAGGGGGTCACTGAAGCACTTATCTAGACAGTCTTCACTGATGTCTAGACAAGTCTATCTAGATAGTCTTCATTGTTGTCTAGACATGCCTAGACAACTGCACAGATCCTCTGAACAGCCTCAGCTGGAAGCTTGTAATTACACCTACACTAAAGAATTACTAGATAAAGTTTATTAAAACCTAAGGAGAAGACTTCATTCCAAAAGTAATTCAGCATCTGTCTTATTGGTGGGCTGCAGCCTTTGCTAAGCTACTATTAAACAAATTAATTCTACAAATACAATTTCTTTCAGCATGAACACTAAGGGTGCCCTTTGTCCTCAATAAAATGAAATACTCTATTCAAAATAAAAGATCATTTACTTCTTTGGAAATTAAAAATAATTTAAAACAATGCTAACTTTACTCAAGAAGTTACTAGATCAAGTTTGCCCAAATAATATTTTTAAAACGAACAAACTGTATTTGGTCAAAATTAAACAATAAATCAGTGTTAGTTCTTTATCTCATAGGGAAAATAATTAAGATGGACTCAAAGCTACTTACAGTTTTTGATTTATTAGATAAAAATGATCTATGAGCTACAAACTACATGGATTATCCATATATCTTTGGCTAATTTATGCTGCTTTGGAGCCCATGTCAAAAACCAGTTGCTAAAATCAAAACAGAAATGCAAAAAAAAAAAAAAAAAATACTTCAGTTCAAAACCTGATGTGAGACAAATACACATCAATTTTAAAAGGTATCAAATGGTTCTAGTAGCCTCTCTTTTTTAATCTTTAAAAAATTTGATAGATTAAGTGCTGGCCTATGGCTCACTTGGGAAAGTGTGGTGCTGATAACACCAAGGCCACGAGTTTGGATCCCTACATGGGGATGGCTGGTTAGCTCACTTGAGAGAGTGTGGTGCTGACAACACCAAGTCAAGGGTTAAGATCCCCTTACCGGTCATCTTTAAAAAAAAAAAAAATTGTTAGAATAATTAGTCAAATTAGATGAATGTCTTCTTGCAATTAAGATGGGAGGGAAAAAACTTTATCATTTGGTTTTGTTGGTTTTTTTATGAGCTAAGTAGTAGCAAAACTTATAGTCTATCTAAGTACAACACAGCATCAATACACCAAAAATTAAAGGAATTATATATTCAGAAGATATTCATCAATTTTTAAATGTTAAATTTTCATAAACCCCACACTTTAGTAATCATTGTAGAATGTAACTACTCAAAATCTCTGCACAATAGGGACTAACTGAGAACAAGCATTTGTCAGAAGTTTACAACCAGGGGCTGGGAGGAGGGAGGAATGAGGAGTTAGTGGTTAATGGGTACAGAGTTTCAGTTGGGGAGAATGAAAAAGTTCTAGAGGTAGATGGTGGTGGTGGTTGTAGAACAGTGTGAATATATTTAATGCCATATAACTGTATGCTTAAAATGGTTAAAATGGTAAATTTTATGTTATGCATATTTTACCACAATTAAAAAAAAATTCATGAAAGACATCTTAGATTTGAGAGAGTCCATAACTATCTACTTATCTTCATCCTAAAAGTTCCTGTTAAGTAAGATAATCAGAAAGCAAAGTATCTAAAAGCACATTATCTTAGTTCCTCGCAGAAACACTTGAGTTAAAACTAAGTTGATGTTCACTCTTTCTCTAGAGAGTCAAGAGGAGGATTATGCAAGGTGACTCACTGATTACCAAATTATGTAGGGCTTTCTGCTCAGTTATATAATTTGCTGCCTTTTTAAAGTCTTTCCTCTCTGATTAGCATCTATGTGTTGCTTCTCACATGGAACTGGGCATTTTAAGTAACAAGGAAAATTATGGAATGAATTGGAGAATAAAAGGAAGAAAAGTTGAAAAAAAATTTTAATGCTACATTAGACATCTTTTTATGTGAGTGAGCCACATATCACTGAGCTTATTTAACATCTATTTTAACTACAGCATCATATGCCCTGTATATATGAACTCTACTAAATATTTTAAATTCAGTTCCAAGTAAAACTTCAACAGAGACTATTTCTGTCAATGAAAAATTTAATTTACTCCACAATTAAGTGCAATTATATCAAGTTAATTTTGATTACCATTCAACCTGAGCCCTGTTTTGAAAGAAGGCATATAGGCATGTTACAACAAAGAACGTTTCCTACAATGGAAGTTTTCAATTAAAACTGGAAAGTGTTCATAACTAGCAAGTTAGCTCAAGTTTAAGGAATGAAAAGCACCTCTGTGCAGATTCTGTCATCATTAACATTCATTATGAGCATATTGTTGAGCATGAACTGACCTTTAATACTTTTTTGATGCTGTTAATTGTTGACGTTAGCAATGACCTTACTTTCTGATCATCATTCAGATAGTCAGCATGCCGAACGCACATGAATAGGATATACGCGGGTAACCCTGGAATCAAATTGACTGCTACACCACGTGGCTTCAGTTCTGAAAAAAGAAAAAAAGGAAAAATAATTTTATGTAACATTGAAAGTTTTCGTGAGGCATGCTTTGTGAGATTAAAAACACAGTTGTCATGTAAGAGTTCAATCATTCAAGGTAAATAGGTCATATAAAAAACAGTATTTTAATAGCTTATTACGTTGAGAAATTCTTGAGTGTGAGGACATGTCTACATAATGGCAACTCCCAAATTTATATCTCCTGCCCTGACTTTTCCCTTGAACCCTAGTGTCTCTGTCAACTGCCTTCCTGGCATCTCTGCTCAGGCAGTTGCCTTCACTTCACCAGTATACCTGCTTTCACTCTTTATTGTTTTTACTTCATTATATATTTATTTTATTTTATTTTTTCTATTTCTCCCCACTGGAACGTAAGCTCTATGAGAATAGGGACTTTACAGTGTCCATTACAAATACCTAGAAAATGCCTGGCACATGGGAGGACTTCAGGAAGTATTTGTTGAATTGATGAATCTTTGTTAATGCTATGCTTAAAAACCAGTGGCTCCTTAAACATTTTTGCTAAATGAAGATCACGTTGAAACTTCTGCAACTCTACACCTATATACAGCACCAAGTTTAATGCCATAAACCCTATGAATGCTAAATCAGGTATAACTTTCAATCATACTGCTGTCACCCTGGCAAATGGAGGAAGAAATGCTATGCAAAGGCTAAAAGGAGAAGTTTTTAGGTTTTTCGGTTCATAACTTATGGGTATGTGCGCACTCTAGTCATTTATCATCACCCCCTAAAAATTCTTCTTGCAGAGCTGCTGGACTCACATCCATCTTAAAGGCCTTATGCTGCTCTGAAATTCTTTTTCCACTCATCTCATTTGTGCTGTCCCTTCCTTCCTTTGCTGGAATATTTTCCTTTATTCTTTTGTTTCTTTCCTACTATTGAACTTTTGTCCTCTACATATTTAATCATAAATCTTTCTAGGGAAGTAAGAAAAAATAGAAATTCAGGAACCTAAATGGCCTAGAGCAGTGGTGTTCAACTGTGGTTACATTTGAAAATCCCTTGAGAGGTTTTTAAAAAAGTGCTGTACATGGCCAGGTTCTTCTCCCTAGAGATGTGATTTAACTTGTCTGGGGTAGACATCAGTACTTTTCAAAAGTTTCCCAGCTTATAGAGAAGCCTGGCCTCAAACTATCCTTATAGGTGGGTCTTAGGCATGTTTCCCTGCAGTGTGGCTGATAATGCATGGTGTTGGCAGGATGCTACTACAGCACTATAATGCACAGTATGTAATGATGACTAAAGAAACTTCAGTGTTGAATATTTCAAAAATTAGTTACTAGTCTTTCTCACCATTGACATATGTACCAGAAAGACATTTACCCATGTAGAAAATACTTGCCCCAGGCTGGCCGGATAGCTTAAATGGTTAGAACATGGCACTGATAACACCAAAGTACAGGATTCAATCCCTCTACTGTCCAGCTGCCAAAAAGAAAAAAAAAAAAGAAAAGAAAATACTTGCCCAGAATCAGGTTCTTAACAAGTTTTTGCTCATCCTCCTTCTTGTATTCCAGCATTCCTTGGAAATCTTTTTCTTTCCTGGGAATGTTGACTGGACGGATGGGTTCATCAATGATCTGTCCCGGGGATATGTTCTCCATTTGGCCCACTTCATGGGAAACAAAAAGACGAAAATGTTTTTCAGGTAGAAAAGATGAGAGAGCTGCCTGTTTCTACACTTTTTTTTTTTTGTCTTTTTCGTGACCGGTAAGGGGATCGCAACCCTTGGCTTGGTGTCGCCTGCACCGCACTCAGCCCGTGAGCGCACCGGCCAGTCCTATATAGGATCTGAACCCGTGGCGGGAGTGTTGCTGCGCTCTCAGCGCCACACTCTCCGAGTGCGCCACGGGGCCAGCGCCTGTTTCTATACTTTTAAAGGAACTCTATAACAACAGAAATTTGCCATAGTTGCCACTTAATTTTCTCCTCTTAAAATAGTTTTTCTGCTAAAATTGGGTGGATAGATGGCAAAATAGGGTAACGTTCCTCTGACGCTCACTAATGCCTTACTACTATTGACATCAAATAAACTTACCTGACTAAAAACCTTAAAAAAATTTTTTTTGTAATAAAGTTCACTTTGTAATAAGACTAAATGTCCCAAAAGTAAGTGGTTTAACCTATCTGTTCACTAATTGATACCAGTCAGAAATGGTTATTTAGACTTTCACTCACAAAAGGAAAAAACAACATTCTACAAAGGGGTAGCAAGAATATAACAGACTCTCCCTTGCCTTTAGCTCTCTGAATCTAGTCATTAAAGCCAAGAAACATTTACTTTGAGTGTATCCTTACAATCAGTTTGAACCATATCAAGATAGCTGGTAGCATAGTGTTTTTCCACACCAATTGGTGTGAAAAATGTATTATTTTTCAGAAAGGCCTCATACGGCAAAGACCTGACTTTCTCCTGCCACCCCTCATTCCCAAAGAAATCATGAGCAGATAAAACACCTCTATTTAATATGATATCTTAAATATTATTGTTTTTCGTTTGTTTTCACAGAATGCTAAAACTCCTACCATGAAGTTGCAACCATTAAGGCACAACCACTGGTTAACAACTCCTTCACATGTTAAAAATGGTCACAACTGTTAATGCAGCAGCTAGAGAAGAATTAAGATAAGAGTAAAAAAAAAATTCTCCGATTCACCTCAAAATTGATAACTGAACAGGAAACGCAAGGAAAGGTAAGGGAACATAGGAGTTATTGTGGGGACTGTAGAAATATATGCTAGTAAGCAGGTTTTTTATCCTTTTATTTACAGGAAGGGAGGCGGCTAAGGAATCTATTTAAACACAGATTAAGTCTCAAACAAAACGCAGATTAGATGCGAAAACATTGGGGAGTTTAATGTTGCTGACTCCACGAGGGATCAGTAGTGTTTCTTGTGTTACTCTGAGCAATTTCCTGTGTTAGTTCAGAGAGGCCAGTTCCACAGGAAGAGGTTATCACAGAGAACACCAATACCTGCCAGTGCGCTTGCTCATGTGGCACGGAGCCTGGTGATACACTGTCCACTCACGCTGTAGCATCACACACTGGGACTATCAGTGCTGAAAGTCTGGTTGAGGTAAAGTCACCACCATCCATCAACATTATGATATCTAAAGAGTGATCAGATTGCGATTGGACAGATCAGGGCTATGGCCATCTCCCATTATCTGGTGTTTCCTACGCCTGATGCAGTCTGAAAGCCATAGGACTAACTGTAAGTTGCATTCCTCTATTGAAGAGGAGACTCAGACTGTGTAGTTTTACATAAATTATTTCTGGAGTTGGTTTAAACACAACACCATGAGAACCTCTGAAGCAGCACACAGTGGTCCTCCATAGCTCATGAACTTGCTGCTGCATATAAAAAACAAAATAATAAAATTCCTGCCATCTATGTTACTAGTCACTTAAAGCCACAGAGAGGGAAGGGGAAACTGGGAGGAAAAAATTCAACACATTAGATTTATCAATAAATGTACATATTTGGACTCCATGTCAATGAGGGTGTTTTAAACCAACTGACTTTATCAAATCTAAGATGCCATTGATTATGAGATATTCGATTTTATATAGCACTAAAAAAGGAAAAAGACTTCCAATTAAACTATAACTCATCAACAATTTTAAGACACACCCCAGTTTCAGGGATGTTAAAATGTGAAACACTGCGCACCTCAGAATTTATAAAATGATGAATATTTTACTAAGAGAGCTCATGTTTTAAAAGAAACCTTCACTTTCCTTTTGCAAAATCTCTAACCACTTTATTTTTGGTTCTGTACAAAAATGTCAGACAAAATTTGCCTTACTCTCATTAAAATACTTATCTCTGACTTTGAATTCTCCACAGAGACTTAATTCTTTACAAAAACTCACAGATGAAATATAGATGTCAGCTCTATATAAATGTGTTTCATGTGATATAAATCACAAAACCTTGATTGGTTAAGCAAAATTATCTACTGATTAAAATAAAATGTCAACCTTTATGTAGCATCAGGAAAATATAAAGCCTGAAAAAAATAAGCCAGGACACCACCCCAGTTTTCAGACACTAAAGAGAACTGGGTGGTTGCTATGGTTTGAATATTTGCATCTCCTTCAAAATTCATGTTGAAACTTAATCCCCAATGCAACAGTATTAAGAGGTGGGATCTATAGGAGGTGACTAGGCCATGAGGGCTCTGTCCTCATGGATGGGATTAGTGCCTCACAAAAGGGCTAGAGAGAACTAGCTAGGCCTTTGCCCTTCCCTCCCTTCTGCTGTGTGAGTACACAGCATTCATCACCTATCAAGGATGCTGCAACAAGGCACCATCTTGGAAGTAGAGACCAGTCCCCAACAAGACACCGAACCTGCTGGCACCTTGACCTTGGACTTCTATCCTCCAAAACTGTGAGAAATAAATTTCTGCTCTTCATAAATTACTCAGTCTTAGGTATTTTGTTACAGCAGCACAAATGGATTGAGATGGTCATTTAGTCCAATGCTCCACCTAATACAGACATGCTTCTCGAAGTCCTGAAGCAATTTCTATTTCCATTGTCTAGATTCTTTATAAACTTGAGGGAAAAATATTCCTGAACCTTTTTGTCCTGGGGAAAATAAAAAAGGAAATTGGGAAGATTTAAAAAAATTTACTCTTCCTCACTTTGGCACCAGGAAGATCTTGATCTCAGGTTTAATTAAGTCAGACAGACGAATTCCTATTAAGTAGAGAAATTCTGTTGGACAATATGGCACAAAGGAGAGGAATCAGTGGCCCTCAGAAGGCTTGCATTCTAGTCCTGCCATCTAACTGGGATCTTGGGTAAGTCACTTATGGTTTTTGGGCCTTAGTTTTTTTCTCTTATGAAATAATTAACTGATTTCTAGAATCTTTTCAGGTCTAAATTTCCTGACTATGAAAAGTGAGATGGAACACCCACTCCTGGATTAAAATACAGCATGAAGCAGATCAAATTTTGAAACACTCTCCAAGTAGCTACACAATTTCTGCTAAAAATTATACATGTTTGCATTTTTTTAAAAAGTCATTGTTAGCTTCTAAAAAGTCTCCTTAACTAAATGTAACTCATAGGAGGAGGCAAGAATTATGCTATCTTAAAAAAGTATTTAAGTGTGTTACAACATATTTAAAGAAATATATAAGAAAACTTTTAGTTATTGGAAGGTGCTATGTTGCACAGAGTTGCCAGTATTTTCTGTATAACTGGGGATATGGGAATGGAGAGAAAAGTATTAGAAGAGCTTGTCATCTTTATTCCCTAATTTGAGGAAAGGGGCAGGGATACTGCATTCAGCAAGGGTCCCAGTCATATAAAATCTATTTCATTTTATCCTTTAGATATGTATCACTTAACTCAAATACAACTTAAGAATTATTATAATATATTTTTTGTTTTTTGCTATTATCAAATGCTACTAATAGCTTTATAGTTGTCAGGATAGTTTAACTGACGAGGTTGATTTCTGATTGAAAACTGTTTAAAATTAGTACATCTTGAAATATTCTAACCTATCTCTTCAATTAAAAAATATACATATCAAAGGAAGCGGATTAAAAACTTAAAATAATAAATGGCTTTTCTATTTATCAAAATTTACTAAAGTATGGCAAAGGAAACATTTGGAGTTAAATAATCTCACAAGTCAATACCCTTAAAATGAGTTTCTTTCAAGTAAATACTCTGCTGTCTGATTATTCTCTCATGATATAATTAGTGCAGAAAGTTTGCTGAATAAAGATTTTTAAGTTCTGCCAATAGACATTATAGCATGTGTGAGTGTGGGATTTGGAGGTTCAAAAGTTTTAAGGTAATATATAAATCATGTAATGCTAGAGGGCTGTATATAAAATATGACTGCACAGTAATCCTTCTGATTTCTAAACAAATATTTCAGTATTTGTATATCCAAGGGAGTAATATCCTCTTCAAAGTAAACATCCATGTTGCCATGTTCTAAATGTTTCTGAAACTTATTCATTCACCAAAAAACATTTATGGGATGACTATGATAGGTCAGACACTATGCTAAGTACTGTGAAAACAAGGAGAAACAATAGGTGGTTCCTCTGCTCAGGAAGCTCATAGTCTATTATGGAAGCCAGTAATCCAAACAGAAAAACTGCTAAAAATATAACATAGTAAAAACCACAAAAGACGTGAGCCAAATTGTGGTGCACAGAGCCAAAAGGTCTGTCTGGGTGATCAGGAAAGGCTGCTCTTGAGGTTGTGACATATCACTGTGGTCTCAAAGGATGAGCAGGACTTGACCAGGAGAAGCAGAAAGACTAAACAGAAGGGACAGTTATGACAGGGCCTGGCATATTGGAGGAATGAAAAGCACTCTTAGAGTTAATCACAGTAGATTCTTTTGAACATCTCCAGTGATGGGGAATCTTCACCCTCTGAACCAAGCAAAAATTATGAATGGTGACTTTGAGAATAAGATGGGTAGTCAGGCTGAGTCAAAATGATAACAGTTCACATAGGTCTGAAGGCAATTCCAAAGAGCATCTCTAAAATCTCTTCAGCAGTGACTGTGTTGTTGGAGTAAGTTTAGAATTTGCCTTTAGTCCTCTCTACTACTAGATCCCTGGCACTTACTACTGTGCCTAGCAGGAACTTAAGTACATATTGAATGAACAAACACACTAATCCATAAGACAAGATTCATTTGTATATAATAATAACAGCAACTGATATTTGATTATATCTCTAGGAATTTTCCACAATCATATAGAAATCATGAGATGTTTTAAGACATCTTATTTATTTATAATCATAATTCATGTTTTTCTTATTTACTTCTCTTTTTTTCTCCATTAGACTGTGAGTTCTTTGAGGACAAAGACTGTTTTAATCATCTTGGTATACCTAATGCTGAGAATAAGAGTAATACTAATAACTAAGTTGAATGTAGTGTTTACTGTATGTCAGAAACCATTTTTAATGCATTATACATATTAACTCATTCAATCCTTATAAACCATGTCATATAGATACCATTATCATTCCCATTTAACAGGTGGGAAAACTGACGCATAGAGAGGTTCGGTAACTTGCCCAGGATCATATGTATAATAAGTGAAAGAGCTAGGATTTGAACCCAGGAAGCTTGGCTCAGAATCTATGCTCTTAACCTCTATGCTATACTGCCTAGCACAGTGCCTGGCATATAGAAGATATTCATTAGATGTTTGCTGAATTACTTCTCTCCCTTTGTAAATTATTACTACCACAAAAAGAACATTTTCCTCACCGAGAAATGGAAATTTCCACTCAGCATAGGTCAGGTTTGCCAAAAATCAGTTTTGTTAATATCCTTAATATTCGCATACAACCTCTATTAGGCCGTTAGCATAGCAACACAAAACCAAGATTTGGCAACTGTCTTAAAAACATGTTTAAATACCTTCTAGTTCACCGATTTTTTTCGCAAATACTTTCAGTTGTTTTTTCAGTTTTCGGACAGTCTTATCTTGTTTTTCAAGTTGTTCCATCAAATCCTAAAATCAAAATGAAAAATATAACAGCAAGATCAAAACAGGTCTTCTAAAATACACTGATGGAAAGTAGACACAAAAATCACAGAAACAGCACTGTCACTGTTAGTTTTACATAAAAGCTCCAGAAAAGCTCACTGGTGGAGCCACCACCTGGCTAAAACTGGCAGGCATGGGAAATGCAGCTACAATAAAAGCCAAAATGTTAAAATATACAATGCAGTAAAATCCTTTACAGCGTGATGGATAGCAGGCTCACTGTGGAGTCTTTTCTAGTAGACTCTATGTGGGTAAAAAGTTGAATGCTTATAAAATGTATTATTATTCCAGTGGAATGCTTCCTTTTAAAGGGAACTAGGCAAAAATAAATTTTGATGAATGCAGAAAAAGTTTTGTGGGAAGATTTAAGGATGGTTGAGCTCAGGTGGGAACTGATGCCCCATGTATGTGAAGCACTGTCTCTAAGAGACCCACCCTTTGAAGATGCTAAAATTGCCCTCAAACTGAAGATAAGTTAAGAAGTTTTAAGAATTAAAAGGTAGGTTGAAAAAATAATCATAGAGAGCAGGACAAAGGGTGGTCTGCTGACCTATGACCAAAGTGGCAGGTGACATAAGACACCCATAAAATCTTGCAGGTGATATAATTTTGCTTATATAGAAAAAAAGGAGTAATTACGAAAACACTAAAACAAAAGCAGTATATTTAAAGAGGAGGATTAAAAAAGCCTGTGATTATTGGCTCTCTATTTAATAAAAATTCTCTCCAATGAAAGGCATAGTTAAAAACTCAATAATTAAGAAAGAGGACAACAGCAGACTCAGAAAGAGCTTAGAAGGGAACTGACTCACTGATGTCTGTGGTTGTTATTCGAGTGATGGTGAAGAAAAGCGATTACAAATACAAATATTCGTTTTCCAGTCTAGACAGGAGTAGATTTAGATACTAGGCCAATGATTCAAAGGGAATAGTTGCTAACATTTCAAAGCATTATGTCATGCTTCTTGGATTTTACTTGATCTTTCAAACCACATTTTGCTTCCATCACACTGTAAGCCTAGTGTTAATAACAAATCGAACATGACAATGGACACAGGACGCTGATAGAGGTGACACCACTGGCTAAAAGACAGCTGTGGGGAGAAACAGGTTTGTGAAAGTTTTCGAAGAGCCTCCTGGGCAGGGGCAGGCAGTAGTGTGCTCTTCAGTTACAGAGGGCAGAAGTAGCAAGGAAGACAAGGGAAAAGCACTATGATTTTACATACAATCATCCGTTTGTAAAGTGAAATCCGATATGATTGATACTTCTTAGGGTCATCTGCATATAATTCCTCAAAATACTGAAAAAACAGGCACAATGGATATTTGTTTTTCTCTGTGTCTTGAGGGGAATGCTATCTTTCAGCAAAATTAATTTACAGATATTTAAAAACACAAATAATGAAACTATATTTACTCAAAAGGCTCTGATTTGTCACCTGCCATTATCTTCCTATCTTTCTAGCATAGATGATTCTAATTATATATATACAGATTTTTTATACAATCAAAGGAAACATGGCTAGGATGCCATCATTTATTTAGCAGGTAAACAGGGCAGTTGCTCACATTGCCCAGGTAAGGCTATCATTTCACTCCTCAAACCTTCTGCCCTTTTGTTCCTAGTTCAGCATCTCCCACATATGATGCTCATAAGTTGCTGCACCTTTTTTGCTGCCAGCAGCAGTGATAAGAGTAGGGAAGGCACGTAAAATGAAAGTGAGAATTATGGCAATGTTAGGACTCTCGTTTGAAGTTGGAGAGGCTGATGAAGAGCTGGGTGCCTTCCTTCCCTGAAAGACAGCATGGGGGAGGCCTGCGGAGGCTGTTCACTGGAGCGGGGAGAAAAATCATTTTTGTGTTTGTGTTGGGGGTAGGTGGGTGGGTAGATGTTATGTGAGGTGCAGTTCCCAAGAACACTAAGCAAGGTCTACTGCTGCTTTAATACTCTGCTCAAGTGTTTCCTAAAGAAATGCACAATTAAGATAGAGAACCACAATGATTTTGAAAAAGTAAATCGCTTCATGTTCTTAAGTTTGAATCCATTCTCCTGAGTTAGTAGTCAGTATAATAGCAGAAGAAGCGGCTGATTTACAAAAGATTTTCCCACAACAAACTCATTAACTAGACTCTATTGGCTTAGAACGTGGGAGCTTAGTTTATTTTTGTATTAGCTACGAAAATTTGCCAAAGGTTGTAAAGGAAATATTTGATTAGAAGCATCTTTTATTTCATGGTTTCACCTTGTATTTTAAGATAATCACTTAAAAGCACAGAATTTGTATGCTGATCAATCATTATTATATAATTCAGTATATTTATCAATACTTAGTCACCAAAGCATTGTTAGTTTAATTTAAGTAACAATATACTTTAGAGTAACAAAACGACATTTCCAGTACATTTCACAATTCATAAAATTTTGTCCACAAATTAGTGAGATTTCAGTCACCTTGGAAAAAGTCCAAATACTGCCCTCACCCTCTTTTCCCATTCCCACAATGGAGCCTCATGCAGAAAGAAAGACTGTCTTTAAAAGAATACCTTTGGGTTTTGCTTTTAATTCATGTAAGAGATGGATGAATAAATAACACTAGAAAACTATCTGTGATGGGCCGGCCTGTGGCTCACTCGGTAGAGTGCGGTGTTGATAACACCAAGGCCACGGGTTCGGATCCCATATATGGGATGGCCGGTTTGCTCACTGGCTGAGCGTGGTGCTGACAACACCAAGCCAAGGGTTGAGATCCCCTTACCGGTCATCTTTTAAAAAAAAAAAGAAAACTATCTGTGATGTAAATGATCACTAATGGAGTAATGGAGGAATGATTCAGACTGTTATATCTTCACAGAGAATTCAAATAGTCATTAAAAACCTTAACTGAACAAAAAAAAAAGACATAAATCACCACTAGTCCTAAACAACTTTTCTCAAAATCAGGCTGACACTATGACATAAATTTTATATAGAAACATGGAATTATAACTTTTCAATTATCTTTAATATAATAAATATGTTTGTCAAACTTACACAGATTTGAAAAATAATAAATCTGTTATAAAAGTTATGTCACTGAGAAAGAAATACTTTAGAAAATATTTTTGGTAAAAAAATAAAAGAAACAAGAAAAAAGGAAAAGAAAAAACTTGGACTCCATGCCAAGGCTCAGAAATCTGGCAAGGGGAAAAAAAAAATCTCCCCTATCATACAAGTTCTGTTTAGAAAAATAAAAAATGTGTACACCTGAATCTTGATACCCCTCCTCCCTGACCTGGGAGCTCCATCCAATGTCAACCCATGTCAACGTCAACCCATACCAACCACCTTCTCTGACCTCAACTCTAACCCCACTTGTTTGCTAGACGTGGAGGCTTCAGTGGCTGCTTGAGGACCAAATGTAAACAAAACTTGTCCCCAGTTTCTGTTGTGACAATCCACAGAACACCTTGTGGAATGGCAGAGAATCTGCAGCTGCAGAAGAGGAAGCAGATCACCTGAGTCTCAGGCTACCAAAAGCCCAGCACGCAGTTGGATGGCTACCTCCCACACCTTCCAGGTTAGGTCTGAGAATACTCAGATGCTCATGAGCATTCTGTGAGAAACACAACCTATGCACTTGCTTTTTTCATCTCTACCAACATATTTGTATTTTCCTTACTCTCTCTTTGCTAGAGTAAGAGGGTAACAAGTGTGGGGTGGTGAGTTTTTCCCAGCAAAAGAAAAGCTGTGTTTGATCAAAAAGAAACCAGGATGTCCAGTTGGGCTAGGCACGGCCTGCTGAGGAGCATGGGGCCTGGGCATCTCTCCTTACCAGGTTTTCGTTGGTCAGCCGGGTTATCTCGTGCTGCAGGCTGGCCTCGATCCGGGCCTCTGGGGGCAGCTGCAGGTTCTGGGCCAGCAGCTGCTGCTGTCGGTTGTTCTCCTCCTTCAGGCTCTGGATCTCCCCGCGGAGGGCCTCAGCCTCGTTCTCATGGCTCCTCTTCTGTGACTGGAGCTGGGATTCCAGGAGTCTGCGGAGAAGCCACACAGGTAGGAATGGGAGGTGACACCCCAACTCCCTGCCTAACAGGCACAAGGTTTCCTGCTCACTTCCAAGAGTAGGAAAAGCAGATAGATGCTCTTTAGCATCCATGTATCTTCTGACTTGATTAAAGTAAAAAAACTCAAACAAGGACCAGAAATGGAAATGAATATTCTCACATTTCTGTCTTTCTGAATTGTATAAATTTCTCAGAGGCACTGAAAAACAGGAGAGTTTTAGCTCTTTTGAAAGGTTCATAGGAAATGATGACTAGAAAAAAAAAAATAATTATAAGACATAGCTTTAATCTGGCTTACTAGATTTACAAACTAGCATTTACGTTAGCAAAGACAGTACTTTCTTGCCACAAACTAACTCTGTATTGTAAAGGGCAAGATTACAAACTCCCAATCTAATTAAATATGCCTTTTAGAATTACAGTTACCAATTCCAGGCAGAGGGTGAGACCGGGATTCCATTTTAATACTGTACTCTTATCTCTGAAGGACAGAAGGGCTGGAGTACTGTGAAATCTATAAAGATTTATCCAAATCCAGACAGTTCTGAAATTTCATATATAAATATATACACACATATTTTTTTTAATTTGCCATCTTCTCTCTCCTTATAAACTTCCTATCAGTAACAGAATCCTAACGCCACAGGGTTTTACTTATGAGAAGTGGTTTGGAAAACCTTTGAAAGATTCATTTTTGTTCATGAGAAGTGGTTTGAAGACAGTGTTTTAGAATGTAAACATTCATAGGACCAACAAAGTGGTTACTGCTTCTCTGAGCAAACATATAGCATCATCTGCACCCATAGAGTAGACTAGGGTATTGGCAGTGAGAACACCAGAGAGTCAGAGTATCCTCCCTTTACTATGAGCACCCACTTAAATATTCATTCCCTTTCCAAACACAAAACAACGTTATGGTTAAGAATTAATTAACATGAAGAAAGAAAAGACATTCTTTTATTCTAATCCCCTTGGCTGCCAATTGCTGGGTAAAACTCACTAATGCCATTGCAAGCAAACTGTTAATAGCAGACTAAAAATATTTTAGTGATCACAAAATTTCAAAAGGATTTGAACCAATAACACCTCAAAGTTAATGATAATGATCTATGGTTAGAACAAAGCAGAATAAGCAGAAGCCCCTTGAACAATCAGTGTATTAAGTGTTTTTAAAATTTAATCACTAAAATGAAATTTTTATGACATAAGTACTGCTAGAGCAGATGAGTGCCTGTGTTAGGAAGGTGTTGCTGTTTCGACTTTATTTTCTTTCCCTTAAGCGTATTTAACGTGTTGAGTTTGGATAATTATTTTTTACTATAGCAATGTAGGAAATGCTCCTGATTTGCTGTTTCACAAAGTTGAATTTCACAACAACCACAAAGAATGCCAAAACATGAACTTAATATTGCTTTTAGGCAGCATGATGATAATATATAAGAATATAACCACTTTGCCATAGGCACAAATATCCTGTAGACTGATCTTCATTCCAAACAAGAAGATGCTAAGTAATAAGTATTAATCTCTCTCCCAATAGTATGTGCTCTAGTTGAAAGATTTTGTTTTTCTTTCAACTCCTAGAGAGAGAGAGATTCACAAATTATAGTGTCTGGAGGGAACTATAGATACCATCATTAATTTAGGGGAAGCAACTCTTATATTCACCATCAATCAGTTTTAGCTTTGATAGTATCTCCTAGTGGAAAAGGTTTTTAAGAAGGTGTTTGGCTGAATGTTCTAAGTTTTACTAAAACTAATTTGCCCAGGAAGACAATGCACAAAAAATACAGGAGTTAAAGTCAGGAAGCCACTGTTAGTAAGAAAAACAACAAATTAATAACATTCCATTTTGAGGAAATATAACCTGTTGGCTTGTTTTAACCCTTCATAAACCAGCCACAGCTCTCCATCCTCATTCAACTCATGGCAATCCAGAGCAGATGATCTTCCATGCAAAAGGAACAATAATGCAAAACACAAAGGGATACAGGATGGTAATGAGATGATGATGGTCAAGGGCAGCACATGATGATATTTCAATATTTTATTAAGTGAATAAGATTGTTTTTATTAATTACAGGTGACTTTAAGACATTACCACAAAATTACTTTTTGTTAAATTTTTTTAAAGGGTAAAGTAACATCACACATAATGGGTAGAAATTAAAGCAAAATAGTTAAGGATTTAGAGCTAATTTTCTTGCAAAATAAGAAATAACTGAAAAAGTGAGAAAGAAGGTCTGTTTTATTTATTTATTTACTTATCCATTTATTTATTTATTTATTTATTTACAAGCTGGCTGGTACAGGGATCCATTCTCTAACCAACTGAGAGGTTCTGTTTTAAATGTTTTATTCAGCTAGCAGAGTGATCTTATGTATCACCAATTATATTAGAGGCTAACCATGACGCATACATAGAATGAAAACTTCAGCTATTGTTTCGTGTGGCAGTCTTCACAATCTATTTCAAAACGAAGTTTTAAGTCTTCTGGGTAGGAACTTGTTTTAGTTTAATGAAATCCAATTTCCCATTTTAAAACTGTTTTAGTTTCTGGTCAACATGGCAGAATAGACAGTCCCAGCATCACTCTCTCCCACAAATCAACCAATTTACAACTATAAAAATGCAACAACAGCCAAGCTGGGGGCTGCTAGAGCCTAGAGGAAGAGGAGAGACCTACAGAGTGCATGAAGGTGTGAGAAGCCATGATGAAGAGAAAGAAAAAACTGCTCCGACCATTTCGTGCCACAGCTCCTTTAAGGCTGGAGGCACAAGCAGGAGCCGGCAAAAGCCGCAGCTGTGCCCTTCCGATGGAGTTGCTTGGAGGCTGCAGGGGAAAAGAGGGCCTTAGTGGCCTGCAGGCCAGCAAGACGCTAATAGGGTTCCCATGGACCCACACAGGAGTGAAGAGCCACAATAACTGAAAAAAGGGAGCCACTCAGGGGTCAGTGAGTCATCGCAAGGGACTTGTGCACGGCCGGTCTCATGGGAAGTATTTGTAGCACGGGCGGTGTGGGAGACGGCCCACCAGGGGAACACTGGGGCACAGCAAGGACAGCTGACTGGCACCTCAATCAGCAAAGGACCACTCAGAAGAGACTGGTCAGGAATACAGAATTGAATGGGGTGCAATTTGATGAAAAGACTCAGACCCAGATCAGAGTTTCAACACAACCCAGGTGCACCAGGTCTCTGGAGAGCCAGAAGTACCTATAAAGTCAATCATCAAAACCTGAGCTGCACAGAAAGCCTTCCCTAGGGAATCAGCAGCAAAGCAGCAATTTAGCTAAACCACACAGCTCAAGTACTGGTTCCCACAGGAAGTCCCCCATTTTAAAAGTAAGCAAAGGACAAAAAATTGTTCCGTCCCAGGCACATGCCAGTGCCTCACGGCTGCTTGGGGACCTGAGGCATGAAGCAGGGGACCGGACCCCCCACCCCACAACCAGGCACACCACCAGTGCCAAGGAGCATGCCATGTGGGTGGCCCACCGCAGCTACCACAATAACCATGACTGCTACAAAAGTGGCTAGACACCACAACCACCACACAAATGGTCCGCCAACCACTGGAGTGCATTCATGCAAGAAGAGTCACCAGCAGAGACAAAGAAAAGAAGAGGATGTCTCTTTCCACAAAACCCATTTCAGAGTGACAGAAGAAGCATCTGCTCTATGATAATATTGGGGGACCTGAACACACCTCTCAGCATTGGACAGATCATCTAGGCAGCAAATCGAGAGAGTAACCATTACTCTTTCAGAGAGAGAGAAGCAATCTAGGGTTATCAGAGGTGGGAGCGGGGAGGGAGAGAGGGATGGGGAGAGATTGGACAAGGGGCATAAAGAATAAGTACAATTTGTAACAATAAAAAAATTGTTTTAAGAATTCATATATGAGTAACAGAGTATGTCTGAAGTACTCAGGTTTTATGACATGATTTAAAAAAATTTTTTTGCATCAAAAACTAAGTTTAAGACCTGGAGAAACTGCTTTTATATTAGAGATCTGCCACATGTTATTAAAAATATTTGTTATTAATAGACAATAATGACAAAGTTGATAATAGCTTTTTTCTACCTATGGTGTAAAAGTAATTTTTTTTGAGTGTTTGCTAAGTGTTAGATTCTTTCACATGTACTATTTCATTTAGTTCTCCCAGCAACCAATATATAGCATTCATCACATTGCTGAGGAAGACACAGAGGCTTAGAAGATACCTTCTAGAGGTTACACAGCTTGTAAGGAGCGGAGCCCAGCGCTATCTGACTCCAGAGTCTAGGTTCTTGCTCCTACTATACTGTTGTTGCTATGTTTATATAGCACAAATTCAAGTGCTCTTCTATTTTCCATCTACCATCTCTGCCTATAGAGTTCATCTGTTTGCATGGATTTGATTGTATTATTACACTCAGATGACTTCACAATTTCTATCTTAGCCCACATCTCTCCTGGCTACAGATTTATACATTTAACTGCCTGATGGATTTCTCTCCTTGGATGTCTTCTTGCATCCTTAAATTCAATATGGGTAAATCTACTGATCATCTCCACCCTGTACTTCCCTACACCCCAGTCCCATGATCATGAAATGGCATCACCACATCTAACCAAGTATCTGCAGAAGACACCTCTGAGTCACTCTTCAGGCTTCCTTATTCCTTGCCCACACATCCAATAAACCACAAGGATTACTGACCTCATCTTCTTAAGTATCTTTCAAAATGTCCCATTTCTCTCAATCTCAATTGCCACCAACCAAGCCCAAGTCACCATAATCAGTCACTGGATTATGGTGATAATCTCTTAACTAGTCTTTATGTTTTCAATCTAGTTCCACTGCAATCTATTCTCTGACATAACAGCTAGGGCCAGCTTTCTATAATTCAAATCTCATCATATTCTCCTACTTAAAACCTTTCAACAGCTTCCATTATCTTTGGAATAAAGTCCAAACCCTCTTGACTGTCTACTCAGCAGCCTATAACCTCTGTGAGAGTCGGGACTACATTTATGTTGCTTACTGCTTATTCCCAGTATGTTGCACAGGGCCTGGCATGAAGAAGGCACACAATAAGTATCTGGTAATTGAATAGCTAAGTGGATAGATAAATAGTCTAATATTCTTTCTATACTAACACATTCTTAGATATAAGATATATTTATAATTTACATTCATAAATTAAAATTTAAGTTTGACCAGATACTTTTATAAGCATTCTCCACTCTTGCACATAAAAGAAAATAAGAAGTACCTTACTTTTTGGATGGCAATGTTCTTTAGTTTGTGAAGTATTTATGTATACCAATCCTATTACTATGTATAGAGAGATCTAGACACCTATCTCCAGAATTCTTTTCTCTGTGATCATCACTGGCTATGTTCTTTCAAAATGGTCTTGCAAGTAGTCTTTTAAGTTCAAAGTTCAATAGCACTAAGACTCTGCTGGGAAGGGAGTGGTAGTAAGGCTAAGGGGAATTCTAGATATGAGCCTTCATTCTCCCATCCTAGAAGTCATGGTACTCTTTTAGAGTTACATGATCAGCACTGATTTGATTCCAGATACCTCATCACTTCTCTTCACACCAACTTTCAATTATTGAAAGCTGCAGTTGCCCCTACAAACCTTTTGAAAATAACCATCCTGAATAACAAATGAAAGTGACTACCCAAGACAATCCAAACTGAGCAAGTGGTTTTATTCTCAAGGCAGGCCCTTAAGGTTCAGACCTTACATATACAAAAATATCTTCCTGTAAAGAACATTTTCCTGGACACCTCTCATCAACAACACTATCTTATAAATGAGATTTTAACTGGGAATACATTAGAAACTTTGGATTCCCTTTGAAGGTCAGTTGATATCTAATAATGCAATTCATAAACACTTTGACTTACTACACAAGAGGCTGGCTTGAAGACTAAAGATCAATACAAGTAAACTGAAATGAATAAAAGAAGGATCAACGTACCTGTTTGTTTCTTTCAAACCAATATATGCTTGCGCTATTTCGCCTTTATCTTTCATTTTTTGTACATCTTCCAAAAGTATTGTGGAATCTGTCATTGTATTCTGAAGGGGGAAATGACACATTTCTATATTAAGATTCAATTCAAAAGCTCTGAACTATATATAACATACTTCTTTCCCCCAATTAGGGGGGTTCATGTGTCCCACCAGAGTGCCAGCCCCAGCCCCGTGTAACCATAGAGGAGAGTTTGCTACAGGTGGCTAAGAGAATGAGGTAGCTTCAGTCCCTCTCCTGAGAACTCCTGACACTCTACCACAAAGATGGTGAGATTCTAGAGTACCACTGCTGTGTAAATAAAATCACTGATGGGCTATGCATATTTTACATTATGTGGAAAAAAATATATTTATATATATGTGTGTGTGTATGTGTATGTATACATATATACACATGCCCATATTTAGTATAAAATATATACTATATAATATAGTGTATATATAGCATTAGAAAAATAACCAGGCAATTATTTAACAGAATGTACAAAGCTGTTCTTTCTACTATTGCTTGACCAGTTAGGATGAAACAAATACTCCAATGTAACACTGAAAGTTTGACATAAAGCTCATTTTCCCATTAAAAACTCAGTACAAAGAAGGTGGTGTTCAGACAATATGCTTCAACAAAACTAAGTTTTTTTCTCACATCTTTAGATATATATAACTGGGAAGGATTTAGCTCCTTTTAAATGTCTACCATCTGCTGTTATTCAATTCTTTTTCCCTCTGGAACAGTATAGCATGGTACATAAGCTTTTGAAATAAACATCTGGCAGGTCAGAATTACTAATGATTTTACATAAAGTGGACTTCTTTTGTGAACGTTTTTATTTTCTTTTTCTTTTTCCCTTTTGGCCTAATCTGATAACCAGTGTAATTTCTAATTAATTTTCTACTCAGCTACTCTCTCTCTCTAGACCAGAGCAAGAATGGACAATATTGTCTAAATAGTATATGTCTGATCCTTTAGTCAACATTTACTCTAAAGTCAGGTCTCACAATGAACTGGACTCGATAGAACACATTTCTAATACCATGATCTTAGAGGCCAGTTCCAAGATAACTTTAATTCCCACTAGAAGCTTATAAGTGCTTGCTTTTGAATTTGTGTGTATAAAAAAAATCCTTCAGAAAAAAACCCCCCCAAACAACCGCCCCCCCACTAAACTACAATACTGCTTTTCTCCTAACGCAATCCTTTTCTGAGTTTATAAATGCATCCTTTGAGAAGGCAAAATATCTGATAAAAGCTATTAATAAGGAATTTACATATTACTAAATCTAAAAAGTCTTTCCCATAAACACTACATACAGCATTTCTTTAGCTAAGTTTTATAAATATTTTAGTACATATTTCACAGAAAATTTTTTTCTCTTTTACTGAAAGGAAGAAAATCTTTCTATTCCATAAAGGGCCATACTCAGACGTTTAAGACCCAAAAGTAATACCTTTGAAAGATCCAAATTTCTATATCAAATAACACTACAAGTGTGCTCTGATACCTGAGGACCTACCTGGTGTGGTTTTGAATTTGTAGTAAATTAGGTAACTTGATCTAATTAGCTAATTCAAGGGAAATATAGGCTTCTTGGTGTGCTGTTGTTCTGGACAGTAAGTAGCCAGTTCTTTCCTCCTCCTGACTGCCTTTGCTAAGAAGTGCTGGTTGGGGGTTGGGATCACACTGACACTACCAGCATTAGAAAGTTGCTGACTTACTGCTCAGAATCTGTCTCTCCTAAGCCAGTGACCAGAATTTCTGAAAGGGTTGCAGCATGTAGGAAAATCCCAGCAATATCTATCACTCAATAGCTGAAATGAGATGTGGTAGTGAAAATATGACTTTGCAACCTCCTCAAGAGCCACTCTTCATTCTAGCTATTGACTCTACACTCAGGAAGATAAAAGTGGCAGCAAAGAATGGTGTGCTCAACTCCTCAGGCTCCTCCTCACTTTTAGCCAACAAACCCACAGCTGGTAGAAAAGAAGTGCTTTTGAGAGTACTTCAAGTTAAGGACTTCCCTCCCCCACTTGTGGATGTCTCCCATAACTACTACAATGAGTCACAGAGCTGACTACGAATAAGAAGTCATGGAGACCCTACTACAATCCACACTGGAACCTACTAAAACCACTGCTTTCCCACCGACTTCCCAAATAGGAAAGAGTCAAACAGGAAATTAGTTTGTAAATATAAAAATAGACTTGGTGGTCAGAAAGCATCAATTGCATATATTAGGGATATCTGTAAACTAAAGATAGGATTAAATAGAAGTATTTACTAAAAATTGAAAAAAAATTTATAATTACCTTATCATCCTGATAATCACAAGTCAGCAAGCATTAAAAAAATGGACAAAACAATAAACCCTCAGTTCCATAAATAAATTCCATCAATGAGTCCCCATCATAACAGATAAAAGCTAACTTAAAAACAATCATGAGTGAATGTTTCTCCCAAAACTAACTTGTAAATGAGTTACAATTCATGAAACTGGCACAAAGTAGAAATTAATATATATTTATGTGATGACAACTCTTATGTCTCAGGAAGAAATGCTTGAGATTATTTTTGAGTTGTTTTGGTTTTCCTGGTTGTAAAATATTTTTGAGTATGTGAGAGAATGACCATCTTGTTAATGTATGTGAGTGACATTCTTACCTTAGATTTGTGAGAGTTACAGTAATGCCCCAGTAGGAAGTCATTTGTTCAAGTGAAGCCTCCCAGAATACCCTGGAGGTGGAGCAAATAAACTAGACCTGGCTGGCCCAGATCATCCCTTCACCACTGCCCTGTAAAAGCATTGGGAAATGATGTGTCTCTCTGACTAGAAACTGAGTGGGACAAACAGCCCTGGGGTGTTTGGAAGTTCTCAGTCAGTGTCATGGGCATTTTTCCTAGGAGAGAACAAGACTGCTACCATGTATAGGCTGGCAGTCAGGCGAACAGGGACCTCAGTTAGAAAGGGTCAGCTCATTAGGGGCAAGAGAGCAGTTGTCACATCGGGTATGGGAGCTGGGTGACTGAACACGTGTGATACCAGAACTGTGTGCTCTGTTAGCTGGACTGTTTTCATGGCCTTTGCTTCATTTTTCTTTTCCTTTCTCTTAATTTTTACTAAAGTTTCTTGTGAGAATACTACATTGTACCCCATAAATATATACAATTATTATATGTCAATTAAAAATTTTAAAAAATGCCAGTTTGTCACAAGAGAACCAGAGAAAGGAATCTTGGTTTTGGACTCTGCTTAAGTTAGCATGCAGAAACTTTTTTCTTGAGGACCAGCCACAGTGGGACAATGGGAAGCCACTGAAACAGCCCCGGAGGTGAGGCCTGCACGGCCAAGCCAAAATGGGGTGTCCTCTTCTGGAACTCTTCTCATCTCAGACTTAGGGAGTCTGTGATTTGTTTTAAAATTTCTTTTTATTTCTTTATATAACTCCATTTGTTACTTGGGATTGTTTTCCCTCAAATTAGTCATATATGTTGTTTTTGGAATTTGATATTTTTTGGATCTGTGTTGATCCCAGGTGTGAACTGCATTTATCATTCCAAACATACATATCAGGTACAGTATCAAAACTGTATGTAGAAATACTATTTCTAAGAGAAGTACTCTCAGATTTTTCAGGCATCCAGCTTATTATATACCACAAATATTTTTGTGGCATGCCATGCAGCTGAAACACTTGATTGCCTCAACTCCTGATTACGCTCTGCAGCTAGCACATGGGCAGAGAGACAGGCCAAGCTTTCAAGATGATTACTCAGATTCCCTTTGATGGCAAATGACAAAAAGGCCCATTTCTCATCATCATATGGCAGCACTGGGTCTCAAATTGCCTGAAAGCAGGGAAGGACTTCAAAGAGCCATCTATATATCCTCAGTATGGGGTTCTTTCTGTTGAATCCCTTGGATACAGCCCCTCCCAGCTGGGACAGCTCCCCCTGTTAAACAGAACTCCCCAAATTGAGGAGAAATCTTCTCCATGTAACTTCCACTCAATGATCTCATTTCTAACCTTTTCATGTTACCTTTCCAATTAAACAGGCTATTTTCAACAAGTAATTGTAAAGTTGTATTTAATGCCTCCCCACAGCAAGACAATTTATAAATTTTTGTATTTAATAAAATTTCATTTTAGATTAAAATTTACTGTGGCCATATTACTACAAAAAGATTAATTATTTTAAAAGCCCTTTTCTCATAAGTGAGAGATGAAATTTTGATGACTATTTGGGATTCACTTGCTTTTTGCTCACTATTCATTAATGACGTCTTACAAATAGCAAAAATCCCAACACTGGGATCTTTTTTAAAGATGAATCCTCAATTAGACTAAAAATGCTCATAAGTGTTTGCTTCATGATAAATTAGAGGGAAAGGATAAAAAGAAATGGAGGCCAGTTCCCAAACACCCACGTTAGCCTCAGGCTCGTGCTCACCTTGGGTTGGATGGCCTCTTTCTGGCTCACCAGCTGAGACCTCAAGATAAGGACTTCCTCCTTGCGGACATCAAGCTCCTCACTCACAGATGTCAGCTGCTCCATGAGGACTCGGTAGGCAGGTGCACCTGGAGCGGTCACCTCTGGGGCACTTTTCTCACTGAGGGCCTTGCGTAACTCATTTAGCTCATTTTTCAGTTTTTTGTTTTCTGATTCTAGTTCTTGACGCTGTATGGAGAGACAAAGAAAAAATTCATTGCTGTCATTCTCAACTTTACATTGGAATGCTCAACTTCTCCCAAGCTGGTAGAAGAAATCTGCTAAAAAGATCGCCAGAGCTACCCTAGTGAATGGCTTCCCAGGTTCTACTGTGAACTCCATTCTGCAAATTAAGGAAGTCTGACACCAAGTGGAGTTGAGCAAGGTTAATGGTAGTTTGCTTCATCAACACAAATTCCAGAGTCAAATTTATTCTGGCCTGCCCAGAGTGTGTTTACAGGCGTGGAGAGATTGCTAAGTTCTAAGGGGTGTGTTTAGCTAGTCCTAAGGGGCCCAGGTTTTGTTCATAGGTAAATGTAAAGGCAAATCTGAGGGTCCAGCTGGTCAGGATATTTCCAATGAATGGTTCAGATGGGTAGATCCCTGAAATCTTTAGTAGTGTCTTATTTCCTTTGTAAGGCGGAATGGAAAGATCACTGAAATTTTAGGCTTTTAACTTCTAATCAAAAAAAGTTACCACATTGTTTAAACCAATAAAATTCCCTTTAGTGTTTCACTGACAGCAATGAATGTATTTTTCAAAATTCTTTACCACATAACATGCTGTGAAGTTGCTGGCAGGGCCTTGAGAGATGGAGGAAGAGGCTGAAGGGTTCTGCCTTCAGCCGTCCAGATGGACAGTGCACACCCTGCACTCCCTCCAGACTTTCACATACTGCCAGCCACTCTCTTGCCACCAGTCAGCACAGCCCTCTTCACACTGTGCTCAAACAATGGCTATGGGAACCCAGAATAGTGGCACTGACACTCCAAGTGTCATGAGGTACCACTGGGAAACACTAAAAACAGGCATGTAAAATCACCATGGTGCCTTATTAAGCACATGACACAAGGTCTGATGATAGTGGAAGTGAGACAACTTTGTATAAAAATCAAATATTTTATTGTTTCTTCCTGGAGAAGCAACCTTGGGTTTGTAGTGCTGTATCAGTCCTTTCAACATGTTATATTAAAATTATTTATAGTCCTTTTTTTTCTAGTTTATGAATATGTAACCCTATCTTTCATGAATTAATCTGAAAATTAATTTTTGTATGTGAAAATGAATGCTTCCTACTATCCCCAGTCTTCCACCAACTGGTTATTAGATTTGCATTGTGCATTTCTGAAAAAGAAAATATATACCTATCTTTACTTTGACATAGTGTTTCCCAAATGTTAATGTACATCAGAATCACCTGGACATCTTGCTAAAACACAGATTGCTGGGTCCCACCCCCAGACATTCTGATTCAATAGGTCTATTATTGTGGGACCAGCAAATCTGCGTTTCTGACAGGTTACCAGTAATATTGATCCTGTGGGTGTGGGGACCATATTTTGAGAACCACTAATGTAATACTTTGTAACTCTGGGCTCCATTCATACTACAGAAATGTTCTTTATTTGTCCATTTTGCATGAGGCAGGATAAGACCTGGAGAGCAGATTCCCACTCCCATTACTTTGGTCTGACTCATCATACCCAATCAGATTTTCATAGTGATGGATGCAGCATTTGAACCCAGGCAGTTTGACTCTAGAGTCCATGTCCTTTACTACAACATCCTCAAATGGCAGCTATTTAGACTGAAGTTTAGCTTATATATATATATTTTGTCCTTTTTGTCCTTTTTGTGACCGGCCTGCACCGCGCTCAGCCAGTGAGCGCACCAGACTGGCCATCCTTATATAGGATCCAAACCCGTGGCGGAAGTGCTGCTGCGCTCCCAGCGCCGCACTCTCCCGAGTGTGCCATGGGCTCGGCCCAAGTTTAGCTTATATTAAATAGAATTTATAAAAGGAAAAAAACACAAGGCTAGGAGTAATGCCTGAATAAGGCTTAAGCTAGGACCTGTGGTGCAAACTCCAGCCCTTAAGGATGTTCTCTGAAAAAGAAAGGATCCAAGCGGGCATCTTGCCAGAACAAGATATTCAAAGTCTTGGGCAGAAACTTTCCATTACCTTGAGTGACTCATATTCCAGTTCTGCACCTCTAATTTGTGGTCTTTCTTCTTCCTAGGAGAAAATAAAATAAAAAACTTTATATTTTAATTTTCAAATTTTTACTCAGGATATTTACTTGCTCTACAGAAAACAGCGAAGGGAGGTTAGCCCTCAAAACTTTAACCAAATGCTGTTTGGTAAAGGTATTTCTGGGCTGAGTTCCTATTACAGAAGAGACTGCAGAAATGGACAGAAAGCCCCAGCCTTGGCTCCTTGGTTGGCCCCGGGCCCTCAGTGGGACAGCACTGCACACCTTTGCTTTGCTGCGGAGCACCTGTTCCTCCTTGCGGTCCAGCTCATCCTGCATCACCTGCTTCTCCTGCTCCAGCTCTGTGACCCGCTTCTGGAGCTTGAGGAACAACGACATGTCCAGAGGCACCTTCTTCTCGCTTGGCTCCTATACCCCAGAAATCACAAGATGGTCAAGACAAGCCAGAAGACATATAAGCCAATAGCAAAACAATGACTAACTCAATAGAAAACAGGGAAACATAACAGAAGAAGAAATATAGACATCCAAAGAATAAACAAAAAACATGCTCAACCTAGCTAACAACTGGAGAAATGCAAATTAAACAATAGTTATGTACTAATTCTCCCCTATCAGATTGGCAAAGACTGAATTGACTATGCACTGTGTTAGCAACAGTGTCTCATATGATTTTGGTGGAAGTATAAGTAGGCCTTTTAAAAGGGCAGTTTAGCTGTATTTATTAAACTTAAATGTGTTTATCCTTTAACCTAGCTAATCTATGTTTAAGAATTAATCATACATAAATTCTTACACAAGCATACAAAAACAAATTTAAAAAGATGTTCATTGTAACACTTTTTGTAACTACAAAAACTTGGCAAGAACTTGAATGTCAGTCAATAGAAGAGTTGCTTAAATAAATTATGGTACCACAGACAAACTACAAAATATTTTTTAGCTGTTAAAAAGAATAAAGTATCTCTATATGAGCAGATAAATAAGTCCTAAAGTATTAAGCGAACAACACAAATTATAGAACAGAATCATACTATGATCTCATTTTTGTTAAGAAATCACAAACATATATATTTTCTAAATGTATACCTAGCACATATACACAAAAATCTAGGCCATCAATGGCCATCTTGGAGGATGGGAAGTACTATGGGAAGTTTTATTTTCTACTTTGCACATTTCTATATTTGAATTGTTTACTATGAGCATGCACTACATTTGCAATCAGGAAAAATGATTTTTGAAAAGGTGAAGTGGAAGTATAAATATAGTGAGATCAGACAGAGAAAACTGAAAACCAAAAACATATATAGCACTTAATAAACTGAAGGAAAAACTAGCAGCATTTTAGAAGTATGTTAATTGGTTCCAAAACAGAATTACAATGAACACTACTAGGATAAATAAAGGTATACTAATTAAAGCTAAGGAAATGCAAAGAACTAACCATCATCAGAAGTTCTGAGAGTGTCATAATTGCTTTACCTTGTTTACTTTGGGTTTTAACTTTTAATGAGGTAAGAAGAGAAATAATTGTATCATTAGATTTAATGTAGAGAATAGAGTCTCTTTTTAGAGAGAGAAAGAGAAAGTGGGGAAGACAGAATGGTAACAATAACTTATCTATTTAACTAAATGGTCAAAGTATAATTCTTAAATGATTAGCAAATCTTATCTTTCCAACTGTCCATTTAAAAAAAAGAATGTTTTTCGGGCTGGCCTGTGGCTCACTCGGGAGAGTGTGGTGGTGACAAGACCACGTCAAGGGTTAAGATCCCCTTATCGGTCATCTTTTAAAAAATAAAAAAATTAAAAAAAGAATGTTTTTCTAATATAAAAGCAAAAAAGGATTTATAGAAAAATTAGGAAATAGGAAAAATAAAAAGAAAAACAGGCATAATCTCATATCCAGAGAAAACCCACAATTTTGCCCTGTTTTTTCCAAGCATCTATAGATTTAAAGAATTGGAATAATATTTTCATTAACATTTTGTATTATTTTTAAAATTTAGTATGGCACTACAATTGGTTCCCACATTTGTAATATGATATTTAACTGTATAAACAGGAACATCATCATTTGCTTAGCTATTACCTTATGAACGAACATTGAGATTGTTTCTAATTTTTGCTACTGAAATATTACTAAAATAAAATAAACATGCAAGTACATAAATAACTAAACATTAACATTTTTAAGACTGTTAAATTAGACCAATTTTCACTACTATCAGTAACCACCACCTTGCCTAGAACAACAGTGAATGTTGTAATTTAAAAAAAATTTCTTAATCAGTTGATAGACCAAAAGCGGCATTTCGTTGTTGTTTTAATTTGTATTTCTTTGACTTTTGACAAGGTTGAATAATTTTCATATTTTCAGGAATTTTACATTCATTAGCTACCTTGACTTTTGTGAAGTCTGAGAAGTGCTGAGTTCAGTGTTATTCTATTCTCAAAAAGACCTAAGAAGAGTCAACTAAACTAAGGAGTGGGTATTTATAGGCTGAAGAGGTCACTTGCTCACAAACTAATTATACCTGGACTTTTTCTTACTGTCTACTTTGTAGTGCTCAACAGTAAAGAAAAAATTTAGGTATATGATCTTTACTATAAAGTCTGTCCTGGCTCAGCAGATCAGAAATAACATCTTGTCTCAATATGAAATTACTATAGAATTTCATTCATAAAATTCATTTCTATGTGTCCCACAAATACTTATATTTTAGCTTATTTACAATTTATTTTTTAATTTTTTAATCTATCTTACATAGTTTTAGTGTTTGTTCATTTATTAATGATATACATGTCCCTGAAAATTTTAATTTAATCTTTTTTTACTCTATAATAGAATCCTTTATTCTACAAATGAATGTAATACTTTATTCATTGTACCTAAAATGTCTTCATCATTTGGAAATCATTTCTTTGAGCCTTGAATGGGCATTTTTGCTTAAAAGGAATCCTCTTATTAAAATGGATGGGGTAACTCTTTAGATACCAGCTAATATTACGTAATGAATTAGTTGGTTGCTAGATAAGAACAAAATTCTATGGATATGAATATTAAGATAAGAGATAGAAGAACACAAAAGATAACATTTGACAAATGCAAAATGACTTGAGGCATAAAGATTGGTAGTTATTTAAGAGTGCTCCCGACGGTGGCCATTCTTATCCCTAATGACACATCTAATTAAAGAGATGCCATTTGTCCTTTCTATACCACATAAACAAGAAGGACGATTGGGCCATCTGGCTCAGAGAAGTTTCAGGGGCTCTGTTTTGCTTTCCTCCCTTCCTTAGTGAGTCACCAGGGCTTTTCTAAGAGTGAAGCTTTGAAACCAACCTAAAAAATAACACAAGTCTCTCATCTGAGGAAAATCAGGAAGATCAAAGAATTTATTTAGCAAATTATCACTACAGGCCTGGTGGTCATTATGGAATCATTCTTAACAAGAGCTGAGAATGTTATGGTGACCCATTCCCTGGGTTTGACAGGGATGAGCAACCTTGTGAGCAGAAGCATAACTGGGATAATTAGTCGATGGCTACTAGCAGAGGTGCACGAGCAAGCAGGGAGAAGCACTTGCTCCCAAACAATGTAAACCCAGCCCATGAAGATGCTGGAAGTGTGGGAGAGCTGCAAAGCAAGTGGAGCTGGTGGGTGAATTCTCCAGAGAGAAACAGCAATGGAGAGAAATAGCAATAGCCATCATAACTTGTAAACAACGAATCACAGGTTTTGCAAAGATAGCAAAACGCTGATTTCTTTTTTACATCAAATGTGCTGTTATCACATGACTGAGGTTGGAATTCTGTTCCAAAAAAGTCTAAAAGACTCCTCTTTATTTAAAAAAAAAAAAAAAAAAAAGACTGGGCCCATTATTTTCCTGGTACCAGATTCTAAAAGAGCTACTTGGGAATATTACAAATAGGAGCCAAAAGTTTTTTTTTAAAAATGTGTTGAATAGGCAATTTGTCATCTTGGCCATTACAGAGGTAGTTGCAAGAAGAAACCCAAACCTGGAAGTCATAAGTAATTAGAAATAGAAATTCATGGCCAATCACAGTGTTAGTTTGGTACCTCTCTCCTGTCCAACTTCCCTTGTAATAACCAATCTTTTTCTATTACCAGTTATATAATTTCTACCTTTCTGATCCTGACCACACCCAGTCAGAATTGTAAGGTGATCACTTATTAGAGCAAAAACATTTACTTATTGAGTACTTACTATGTACTAGGCGCTCTTTCAAGTGTTTTATGAGAATTAAACTCATTTATAATTTACTTCTGTCTGAAATAAATTCCTGATAGATTGTATTTTCTGTACACAGAATAATTAACATACAAGAGGTCACTGCAGAAGGAAAATCTCACCATCAAAATTACATTAAAATTAAAATAAAAATATGTATCAACAAAAAATATATGCAGTATGTATGTACACAGCTAATTAAGCATCAAGAAGTCACTTAGGAAGAATAAATGATTCAAAAACTGTTGTGTTTATGGGCAACTGGGATCTGCTCTGCAATGGAGGTGCTCCCTGTTAACCACAGCATGTTCACATCCTGCTTTTAGTGACAGAAATCTAAAATGTACCTCTGTCCTTGATGGAATGTCTTCAGTTTCTGCAATTTCCGAGCTAAATGTATATTCAGACTCATTGCTGCTGTGGGTGGAGTCTGTTCTCCTGTGTCCAGGCTTAGGCATGTTCTGCAAGGCAAACAGCCAGATATAATTAACACAACATAATGAAACTAGGCGTAGTTAAGACAAGAGTCCACCTTGACTTGGCTCTAATCCCCAATCAATGACTTGTACTGATGCCAAATGATGTGTTTCATGTTGTCTTGACTAAATCCTTACAAAAGGGTCACCTCAAAGAAAAAGGTGCACCCTCATGGTGTGACAAGAACAGCTGCAAAACCAAATGCCCAAATAGAAGTCACCTGTGATTATCAGCAGAGTGCCCTTTGGGTTTCTAAAGCTTCAAGTAATCAGTCACACTGAGGAAGCATAGGTATGATATCTTGGCATCCAAATACTGACTTTAGTATTACAATCAAATAAAACTTACCAAAAGTTCATAAAATATACTTAGTGACATGCATAACCATTTTACTTCATGGTTTAAAAAAAAAAAAAAAAAGTGGGTCAGAAGTGTGTGTTCACATAGGTGGCTATAATTTGCATCACTTTTATGCATGGAGTTAGATCTCTGGAGTAAACAGAGGGAAGAATGCAGTGCAAGAAAGGTAAGAAAGCTGCTCCAAGAATCCTGTGAAGATCTCTGGGTTATTCATTCAGGGAGTCCAGGTGATACTTTTATGAAATGTGGCACTTATGAAATTAGTGTTCAGAAAGCTCGTGGGGAACAGAAAGGTTAAGCAATCATAGACCCTTCCCTCCTGTAGGAGAAGGGGTTAAGAATACCTTCAAGGAAGAAGAAATAAAAAAGCTGGGTTTGTGCCCCTCATTCTTAGGATGCTCCCAGCAAAATAGATAGAAAGGCTCACTGGCCTGGATCTTGCAGGGATACAGATCCTGAGAGCTTCAGAGAGGCCTCAGAGAGCTTTCTGATCTGTCCAATTTCCTTTATCCCTTCCCCCAACTACAGAAAAAGAAATGGAAGCCACAAAGAGTTTCTTTGCCTCCTTCTTTCTAAGGTCCAGGCTTACAGAGAGCCGACTCATCCAGGGGCAGTTAAAAGTCTCTGCAGCCAGTCCAACCTGTACTCCAATGTGAAGGGAAGACCCAAGGATGCCAGAACTTCTGAAACTATCCAGAACCTGGGATGCACACTAAAGGGGAGAATCACCATACATGAAGTCAAGGGCAGTAAGATTTACTCTCTGTTTACATACACAGGTAGTCTTATTTAAAGTATCCAGCCCAAGGGCCAGCCCATGGCTCACTCAGGAGAGTGTGGTGCTGATAACACCAAGGCCGTGGGTTCAGATCCCATACAGGGATGGCCGGTTGGCTCACTGGGTGAGCGTGGTGCTGACAACACCAAGTCAAGGGTTAAGATCTCCTTACCGGTCATCTTTTATAAAAAAAAAAAAAAATAATAATAATAAAGTATCCAGCCCAAGCCCACAATAACAGTATGGCATTTATTTAATAAAATGGTTGTGTCATTAAGAAAACAGGTAGGTTCATATAAACACCTGGACAAAGATTTTTAATAAGCTTATTAAAAATAAGTGAGACCCCTACTTTCCCACATATATCTATCATTGAACAATGAATACCTTAAGGTATGAATAGAGGCAATACTGCTATTTAGTATTTAATGTAACTTTTGGGATACAGGGCAGTGGTTAAGTGCTCTGAGTCTGAAACAAGAGAGAGGTGGGTAGGAATCCCAGCTCTGCCACTTACTTGTCCCTTATTCAACTTCTCCAGGCCTCAGTTCCATCATCGGGAAGAAAAAAATAGTATTTTTATTTCACAGGGAATATGTGTGGATGAAATAAAAGTGCGTAAGTAAAGAGTTTAGCCTGGCATAAAAACATTCAATTAATGTTAACTGCAGCTGCCATAATTGTTAGGACCCTGCACTAATTCAACAACTTCCTTGTTGGCGACCTTTCAGTTCTCCAAGTTTTTAGGTTTCTGTTTCCCTGTTCATGTTATTCAATTACAAAGACATACACTTGACTTGATGATCATGTTCTCCTTCAAGATCTGCATCTCACTCCTCTTCTGCTCCTTATCCATCATTTCCCCCATAGTTCCCTCTTTTCTACAACATGTTTTCTTCCCTTTGCCAAGACTAGTGACCCCATTGTTGACATGCTGAATTCCCTCCTTACTCTGAAATTTATTTATCTTTAAGCACCTCACAATCCTGGATTCTCTGGCCTCATCTTTTTATTGCTGGCTTGAAACTCTTTAGGCTTGGGTAGACTTTTCTTCATTGCCTCTGCCCCTGGAAAATTGACTGCTTTTAGAGGAAAATTTTACAACACTTCTTGTACTAGGGCCAACAACTCTTAGACCCTGGTAATCAGTGATACTATTAACTCACTAGTTTTCCTCGGCCTATACATCACATAGATTATGGGAAGCCCTTGAGGCAGTCTATTAATTTCCCTCCCTAAAGTTTCCTTCATCCATCTGAGGAGTCTATTTATTATAAAAGGCTTCATTAGCTCTGGATTACAGCAGTGAGAATTCCATTTGCAGAACTGTCAGTAAAATATTAGCCAAGTATCCAACTGTTAGCTGTGAAGTTCTATCTAAACATTAAAAAAAGATATTGGAATTAATATTTTAATTGTTCTAAATTATAAGTCAAATAATTTTTTTTATTCTCTGCAATTCTTGGCAAGTGTTCTCTGCAAAGACTACGATCTTGATTATATCTAGAACTAGACAATGAGACATAAGGAAGAACTGAGTAGGAAGCAAGCAAGCTCTGATCGTCCTTCCTCTGCTTTTTCCTTTTCCCTTCCTGTTAGCATTTTGTTACCCAAGAGAAATGACAGTGAATCACAGGCATAAAATGGAGAGGACTAATGGCTGAGAAATAAGAAATCAAGCAGTTGAACTACCCCTGGAGCACTTCTGGGAACAGAATGGATAGCAGGCAGAGACTTGCTTAGCAGGAAGGAGTAGCCATGTTAAGTTTCTGGGGGATGGCCATTACTGGAGGGTCTTTTCTAGAGATGGCTACCTCATTGACTAAAAAGGCCCATAACCTCACAGATGTTTCTGGAATGTGCTTGGAGAGTGAGACAGACATGGCACATGCTTCTGTCATTTTATTTTCTGAGATTCACAAGGCACATACTATTAAAGAATCCAAAAAATTCTGTTTATCTCTATTTAAACTGGTTGATTACCACATTTATTTGATCTCAGAATCATTTCTTTTCCAATGCCACTTATTAAAATGCCAAGTAACTAGTGGCCCTCAGAAACATCCAGTGGGATACAAAGCTTAGCTCTAACCATAGCTGAAACACAGATTAACCATAAACGTTGGTTATCTAGTAAACAGAGTTAAGAAAATACACTGAAGAATGGAAGTCTGGGGGACGTGAACATTGAAGGAGAGGAAAAGAACTCTAGAGAAGACTAAGAATGACAGAATGTAAAGTAGGAAAGTTTTCAACTGGGCCAAATGTGGCATGGCAATCAAGGAAGACAAGGTTTAACAAATTTGTCAATTATAAGGGTAATGGGTAATGGTGACCTACTCCTACTTTTAATTTTTCTTTATCACATATAAATCAGGGTAGAGTAGTGACATTTGAAATAATGGTCTAATGTGGGATTTATATTAGCTTTTTACCTCTTTTAGACTTTATTTACTCATGCGCAAGGTGATGAGGACAATTCTTTTGTGATCCACAATCTTTTATTTTGATTTGGTGTCACATTTTAATGAAGTTTATCAGTAGATCCAGATAGAAGCAAAATTTGAAGCAAATAACCTACCCCACAGATAATGAACTATCTTGCTCTTTATATGAGTTATTTCAGAGCATTTCTGACCATTTGAACCATTAAGTTACCTTTAAGGCTGATACTTGTAGGGAACTCTTTGTCTCCTGATAGCAGGATAAGTAGAACAGGGAGTGGGGGCAGAACTATTACGAGTATGGAAGGTACACTGAAAAATGCAGAAGAGTCCTTGAGACACATAATTCAGTACAAATGGAGGCTGAATTTTCTTTTTGTAGGAATATCTCTTCGAAATTATAATAAAAACTACTGAAGGAAATACTCAATTCATAAAATTTGCCTCATATGCAAATTTTACATTAAGACATTCAATATATGCAGGTACTTTAAAAAGTTCACGGAAAAATGGAATTACAAGATAATATCAATCTATGAATTTTTTGATGTACCCTCACATAAAACAAAGTCCAACTGTACTGATTTTATACTATCTTATAGTCCAGTCCTTAAAGTGTTTGACTTTACTTTAGTACTTATGAATAAAGTTATATGATTTCTGCTCTAAAATAATCTGATCCATTGGCTGAGGCAGGGTGGAAGGGGTGGAATGGGGGGTAGAGATGTGTTGACCATTTTGGAATTGGGTGAGGGGTACATGGAGGTTAATTATACTGTTCTACTTACTTTTGTATATGTTTAAAATTTTTCATAAAAATAAAAAAGCAAAGTGTCTGACTCACCACCATCAGGGTCATCTCTTCCTTGAGGTCATCATACCGTTCTTCTAGGCGACTGAACTCATTCAGAAGGTTCTGATACCTCAGCCTTTCATCATTAAGATCGAGTTCCAGTTGTTTTGTTTCTTCTACTAACTTCTTCTCCATAGTTTCTGAAATAAAGAGGGATATGCATACCAAGGATGACTCCACAGTTTGCAAGAGTGTAAACATGTACACGGACTTACAGTTTTTCTGCCATGAAATTTTAATTCTGGCCCCTCTATGAAGAGTATCTTAGTGATTGTAGGGAAAGAAAAGGTATGACCAAAAAATGAAATAACTTAGTAGTAATTACAATCACCTACTACGTTCTTCCAGGTACTAGCCTTAGTCCTGCTAGTTCATAACACTGCTTACAGCACATCCTTGATAAACTTCCACTAGTTATTGTCTAGTGACTTAGCATATATATTTTTTATTCTAGTGGTATTCTATTAATAAAATTATTTTGTCCAAATTAGTGTACTCTCTCAAAAAGTCAGAGATATTTAAGATATTTAAGATATTTGGTGACTCTTCAGTAGACCTGGCTACTCATCTCAGTCTTATGGTTCTATCTCACAATTTTCCAGCATTCTGAACTCTCCTGCTGTCCTATTACTCTCTTGTTTCTAACCTATTAATGCTCAGGCCTGGTCACCTGTGTTGTGTACTTCTTGGTCATCTCCCATGTGCTGCTGGGGAAACACTGACTTTGCCATTTACCCAACCCACTCTGCCCTCTCTGTTGCCAGTGGCTTGCATTTGGCTAGGACATGGTCTGAAGATTGGAGATTACTTCCCGACTGCAGATAAAGCAAAGTAAGAATGCTTCAAATCTCAGTTATATGTTTTAACTCAGTGAATGAAGATTCCTGCCACTATGCTCCATTTTACCCCTATATTTTGTGGCTGTCTCTTAAACTGCCCTGCTTGCTTCTATTACTTCACCACTTCTCTCTCTGTCAGCTCCATGAGGCAAGAGCTGCAAGTGTCTTGTCACAGCTGCTTCCCTGGGACCCATGACAGTGCTTCCTAGAGGAGGGCTTTAATAATTTGTAAATGAATGGGCCGGCCCGGTGGCGCACTGGATGGTGCGCCGCTTGGGAAGCGCGGCGGCGCTCCCGTCCGAGGGTTCGGATCCCACGTATAGACCGGTTCCCGCTCACTGGCTGAGCGAGGCGCGGGAGCAACACCGAGGTTTGCAATCCCGTTGCCGGTCCCCGGTCCGGTACGGGGGCAACACTGAGGGTTGCGATCCGTTGCCGGACACGGAAAAAAGACAAAAGACAAAAAAAAAAAAAAAAAAAAAAAAAAAAAAAA